TTTTGTGCACTTTCCAAATTTTGGATATATTTTAGACAATATAAAATTCCAAAACATACTTGAGTTTAAAAAAATTCTACCGTGTAGTTTTTTAGCTATAGAGCTGTTTTTCGAATGTGGTGCCAACTTCACGGTTTATTCTCAAGGAATACTATTCCTTTTATATTTTTGTGCACTCTCCAGATTTTGGATATGTTATAGACAATAAAAATATCTACAATATGGCCAAGTTCAAAAAAATTCTACCGTGTAGTTTTTAAATTATACGCTAATTAAGAGAAATGGAAAGTACACTGTAATATAAATCTTAGTGTTTTCTTCAATTTCCTAGTACTACCGTGAAATTGGCACCACATTGGGCACAACATTCAACACAACATTCATCACAACATTCAACACCACATTCAACTAAAATTTATCATTCAAAATGATAAATCGAAAAATCGTCTTTAAAACACGTTTTCCATCAAATAAAATAGTAAAACAATTTTTAACTGTTTATTATTATTTTACTGTCATAACCATCACAAAAATGTATAAAGTCAAGAAATTGAAGAAAACACTAAGATTTATATTACAGTGTACTTTCCATTTCTCTTAATTAGCGTATAACTTAAAACTACACGGTAGAATTTTTTAAACTTGGCCAGAATATAGATAATTATATTGCCTAAAATATATCCAAAATCTGGAGAGTGCACAAAAATATAAATGATAGAAAACATCTACAAAGTCGGATGACACGAATACGTAATATAATATTATATAATTAACTTCCTATATCCAGGTATCTTTGCAAACAAAGGCCTATAAATAAAAAACTACGCGGTAGAATTTTTTTAAACTTGGCCATACTGTTGATATGTTTATTTTCTATAATATATCCAAAATCTGGAGGTGGCACAAAAAAACAAATGATAGAAAATCATCGACATAGTTAGAGGACACGAATTCGCGTAATATAATCTTGGATATTTAAGTTAAGAATTCCGGTTCTTTAACAAACAAAGCCTTTGATTTGAAAACACTAAGATTTATATTACAGTGTACTTTCCATTTCTCTTAATTAGCCTATAATTTAAAAACTACACGGTAGAATTTTTTTAAACTTGGCCAGAATATAGATAATTATATTATCTAAAATATATCCAAAATCTGGAGGTGGCACAAAAAAATAAGTTGTAGAAAATCATTGACAAAGTCGGATGACACGGATGCGCGTAATATAATCTTATATAATTAGGTTGAGAATTTCAAGTCATTGCTAAACAAAGGCTTGTAAATAAAAAACTACAAGGTAGAATTGTTTTAAACTTGGCCATTTTTGGAGATATTCTTATTGTCTATAACCTATCCAAAATCTGTCTATAGCATTATCGAAAATCATCGTTGATGTATGGTTACAGATGTCCGTAATATGTAAGTTAGTAGCGGTTCCGGTTTTATTGGAAACAAAGGCGTCTAACTTGTAAATCAAACGACATGCGTATTTGGATGACAACAGTATTTAAAGTTTTTATTTATTTTTAAGTCATATACATTAATATATATGAATAACTTTTTTTGCCCCCCTCTTCTTCCCCGTTGCTTCCTTCTGTTGTTTTGTGGGCATCTCCATTTTTTGTGGCCAAGCTGCCCACAAATAAAGCATCTCACATCTGTAAAAAGTGTTCGCACTCATTTTACTTGTATAGTTCTAGCGTTACTTTCTATAAAAGATGAATTACCTTTTAAAAATGGAGGCCGAGTCGACGCCTGGTGCATGGGTTGATCTGTTTTCTCCTGATGCTCAGAATCTGAAGAGAATTCTTTATCAGCTAAGAAAAATGAGGTTTTTCCAACATTTATTTTCAATATAAACTGCACCTTGGGTACGTGGAGCTTGTTGTTCGCTGGGCGGAACCTCTCCATTTTTCCGCAAATATTCTTCAAACACTGTAAAATCATAATATATAACTATTTTATAAAGCTCATTAGATGACTTGAAAGGATATTTTTATTTACAGCGAAATCTTTGGAGCATTTCTTCGTCCAATTTTATGGTTTTTCCCCCACTGTTTGGGGTAGCTACTCCTTGCATTGCCTCCTCATTTTTTTCAGCATCTATAATAAAAAATAAGTCTTGTTGTTAGAAGAAAATATAAAAGTATTGATGAACTTTTCTTTCTTCTATTCAAAAATATTACCCATTGGCGAAGACATATTTTTTGTGAACTTTAACTCAACTGTTCAGATTTCAACGTACTGGCTGGTCTGTAAGCTGTGAACAGTGAAAGGATGTTATGTTCTAGGATGCTTTGTTGTTAGGAATTTGAGACGAGATGACAACAACATAGCCAATGACGGCACTGCTATTTTTGGATGATTTGCATATCTCAATAGAACAATAACAGCTCCATATTCTCATTGATTGAAGTATATTCAAAAGCATTTCATCGGTTGTAGTTAACTTTTGAAAATTACATTGCTGATAACCATACTTTTTTGAACAGGTAAGCAGTGGGCCTTTTTTGATTTTTTGGCACCGAATTAACAAAACCGTTATGATTTACTCACTTTATTTCAATTTGCATTTCCCAAGGTAGCATTCACACACTACAGAATTTTTTAACTGCATTGCGTTTATAAAAATGTCGGTATGTAACAATTTCTCTTTTCTGCGTTATTTGCGTTTATTTGAATGAATCGGTATGGACACTTTCTTATCTATTTATAGACACGATTTCAAAAAGCAAAAGTCGCAGGATGTTTTCCTCTAAAGGAGAACATTAAGGAAATTGCATCCATAATGGTATCGTTGAATTGTGCCAACATACATGCATGTAAGTGGTGGAAAATTGATGGTTTTTGGGCTAAAGTTTTGGAAGAGTGTGGACATCCAAATCTAGCAAATTCACGCAAATACCTCTGTATGATGTGGCGACGAAATTGGGGAAGGTTTCAAAATGCATACGAGAGTGAACATCAAAGGCAAACAAACATCGCTAAAAAGGAGGTAAATTATTGTGGATAAGACATTAATACATTCTTTGTGTAATTAACCCTTATTTTACAATGACGATGCAATCTCGATTGTGCATGCAAACAGTGAACTCAATTTGAAGCCAAAAAATCTTTGTCGTCATCATTCGTCATCACTCGTGTTTCCCCCGCGTTCATAAATAATTTGTATTTTTTCGGACTTTAATTTGACCTCAGTTGATATCATTTCAATAGTCTGTTTTATCTTCATCAAGAAAACATTTTGAACTTAATTTACTTCGTACATGAGTGATTGTTTGAATGACATAGCTAAAAGTAAAGACTTCATTTGAATAAACAAACGTTTTGCGATAATGAAACGAGGAAAGCGTTTAAAACCTTCCTTTCCTAATAAAGCCATGTGATTAAATGAAGCTAAAAAATATGTTTAACCGCATTACGTAAAACGTTGTTAAATGCACATATCTGTTCGTGAGGGTTTTTTTAAAATTTGTTGACAGAAGCCTTCTTACAGCTAATGCACGGTCGTTTGCAAATTTGTAGACACCCCCATTCAGTGAAAAATTGGAGATTCGGGACAAGAAAAAAGTCCTATGGAGCAATAAACTGAGCAGATTTTTTCTTCTATTATTGTAAAAGCTAATTTGCAAGCAAGGCATGAAAATAAAGAACGCAAGTCAATTGTAAAACTCCTGTCATAATCTTTATATATTTGTAGGTTGTTGGCTCTAGCATTCCGGGAAGTCGTATGCAGTCACAAGAGAAACGGGAAAAGGAGATGCAGAAAAAAGCTCCTATATCAGGTGATAAGAATGTATTTATTGACACAAATGACTTTACACCATTGACATGTTTAGGGGAGAATGATAAGTCTGCAAGAATACAAGTTAAGAAAGACGAAAATATGCAAGTAGAAGTGAAGACGTTGGAAACTGTTCTCCAAGATAAAAAGTCAGCATGCTCTCTGGAAAAAATAAGAAGAACGCTTGCTGAAAAGGAAACTGCGCGCGAATTTCCACCATCAAAAGCCCACGATGGTTTCGTACATACTATTGCAATGTATCCTCTCATCGTTCACATGTGGATAGAGAATCAAGTGCGTTTGTGGCACGATAGGTGCAAGGATGATATTTCTTATCTTGACGCAAAAGGAACATTGGTTGCTGATCACAACGGGAAGCGCGTCCTTTATTATGCATTAGTAATACGCCATCCAGTAGAAAATGAACCATCGTTTCCAGTAGCAGAAATGATTACTTCGGATCATACAACGGGAAATATTCGCTCATTTTTAGAAAGATTTCGGCGAGATGAATCAAAGTTATATAGAGGGCATCTATCATCTCCAAGGCAGGTAAACACAGACTATTCAAGGGCTTTGTTAATGGCAGTTTTGCAGGAATTCAATAACGAATCAATGGCTGCATTCTTCAAGAGAGCTTTCAGGATAGTCAATGGAAGAAGTCTTGACAATGATTTATCTCTTACAATACCTCATGTTGGATGTAGTCACTTCATGCACATTGTTCACAGGTATCTCAAAAATTGGATTCTGCCGAAAATTTGTACGGCCTGGAGACGAACTTAAGGAGAAAGAAGAAAATTGGTATCGTTTCAACATGTACGCCATGTCCTTGCTTGTGAATGCCAGGACTCTACACGAATTTCAAACGACTTTAGAAGACATTATTACATGCTTATGCAGCAAGAAGCAAACAACGGTGTTAAGGAACGCATATGCAAGAGTTAATGCACGCATCCAAAACATGGACAAATTATGTTCTGTAAACATTTCCGAATTTCAGAAGGAAAGCAATTACACCAGTTTGGATTACAGCGACTGTGAGAATAGTGTAGTGATCCCATCTTCCAACCCTTTGTCGATTTCTTTCTACCATCGTTGGGAAAGTTAAAAGATGTGTTGAGAAGGATTCAGAAAATTCCTGCGAATCACCAGGAAATGAGAATCGTTCCTACTGTCCCAAATTCTCTGCTTCATTACAAAGTATTTGAGTGAGATGGCATTGTGGTCTGGTGTTTTATTAGGAGATATGACACGCTACGGGGAGAACGGAGGAATTCAAGAAAGTAGCTCTTGTAGGTTTTTGTCGTTCACATCGGCAAACGCTAAGACTGAAGGCTATATAGAAGGAGCTATGCGAAATCTCAAACAGGAAGACTTCCCTGGAAAAAGACGGTTAAGAGCTGACGTATTTGTACTGCAAAATTATGAGCGCATACGACGTCGTGAGCGAAATTATGGTGATGGATTGCATGTTTACTTGAAAAAACAGAAAAAGAGAAGGTATGAAAAGAGGACAAAGAATATCGCTGAGAGCAACAATGAATCTGATAGTGATTTGCCAGAAATGACATATCACACAAGCCAAGAGAGATGGGGTAAGAAAGATCCGGAAACTCCAAAGCAGAATCCAAAGCTTGGAAGGTATCAACAATCACCATCAATTCCACTGAGTGTAACTCCAAATTTAAAGAAAAATAAAAGCAAAAGCAAAACGCTACTTGATAAAACAGACAGAGATGCAACATTGATGCGAAGTTCACCAGGTAAAAGAAAGTTTATGAGTGATATGACGTACAAACAGAACGAAGCAGATAGTACCTATTCCAAAGTGGCAGTTACGAAGATGAAAATTGACGATTTAGCAGAAAATAAACATGAAGATGTTCAGGTCATAAAGAAGGACAAATACGTAACGAAGCACACCTTGATCCATGTCGAAGAAAAGGAAGCTAAAATAAAGCGCAAGAAACGTTTGTCAAAAGCGAAAGAGAGCAGGAGATCAAAAATGGACCGAATGGATGTGGAAAGGAATGGACGGGTGCAGCACAAAAAACATGAAAGAGGAAAAAATAATGCCAAAAGAACAACAATGTCGCAAGGAGGTAGTAATTCACAACTTAACAAAAGCAAATGACCTGAAACTGCTAGAACAAAGTAAGAATTTCTGTGGTTTAATCAACAAAAGAAATTCTTGTTGGGTTAATGCTCTTTTGCAATGTTTGTATGTCTTGCCCATCAGACGTATTTTCTTAAGTAAAACAGAAGAAAACGTTAAAGAACAAATTGATTGTGCTCTTTCAAACGCATTGAGGAAAAGCATGAAAGAGATGCATTATAGCACGGGATCAAGTTTTTATCCATCTGTCTTCCACAACGCGTTTACAGAAGAACACAATTTTCCATTGGGCAAGCAATGTGACGTACAGGAAGCGTTCACAAGGCTGTGTTCCAACACAAAGGAAACGGCCATCGGCGATGCATTCAACATTGGCACTCAAACCAGGAAAACATGCATGTCCTGTGGTAATTTCGAAGATAGCATGCCCGAAACACAAACTTCATTAATTGTATCTCCACGCAACGGCATAGATGATTTAGAAAATGCTATTAGAAATTGCTTGGAGGACACAGTAAATGCCTGTTGCAGCTCGTGTAAGTCAGAAACAAATCATTTCCAATACCGAAAGTTCATATTTCTTCCCGAAACACTGGTTATATGTTTTGCAAGATTCAAATTTGGTAATGGACGTATTTGCAAAAATCAGGCGATCGTAAATTTACCAAATCAATTAAGAATAGGACCAGAGTCCTTCCACTACAACCTTCGTGCTTGTGCTCTTCATCATGGTTCGCGAGTGCAAAGTGGTCATTATACTGCTCTCATTTTTAATGACAATAAAGTTTTGCATATTGATGATACCAGATGTAGTGACGTGACTTGCGAGTGGCAATTGCTAGCGCAACAAACAGTATATTTAACTTTTTTCACAAAAGTTGGAAACGGCTTTGCTCAAATTTCGCAGATAAGTTCTGGTTGTGGATTAGATGAGTTTGAAAAAGGTGATGAAACAGGGAATTGTAATGAGACATTCGAGGAAAAGGCTAATGTTCAGCGAGAAAATGAGTCACCTAATTATAAATATGATGTACCAGGAAAACAAAGTAATGAAGTACGCTGGAAGGAAATTCAACAACTTTACGACGTTCTCAATAAGAATAAAACAATTTGTTTAAACGCAACTCATGGGTACGAACTGAAAGGGGAAGACTTCAAGACTCTAGAGCAACCACTATTAAACCAGACTTATTCAGTAAAACATACTGGGTGGTTGAATGATAAGATAATAAATGCTTACACTCATTTGATTGTCAATGCTGCGCGTGAGAATGGAAACCGTGTACTCGCATTCGACACACTTTTCTATTCAGGCTTCGTCATTGCGTGGTACAACGCGCTGACGAAAAGAAGTTAGTAAGAATGATGTTTGAAAAGAAAAGTGATTACAAACTCGAAACCTACGACTACGTCATTATTCCAATAAACGAAAACGAATGTGGTCATTGGACTGTGATGATCATTGATATTTGGAAGACCTCTATCCATTACTACGACCCATTGAAACAGGGGATGCAAAACGAGACAGCAGTAAAACTGATCAAGTTCTTCTTTGCTGCTGCACTCAAATGGCGAAGGAAATGCGAGGTAATCATAAATAATCGTATTCTAGTTGAGAATTTTGAGGTAATATGGGAGAAATCATTCAATTACCAGCAAGATTCTTTCAGTTGTGGGTGTATGTTTTAATGTATTGCAGTTATCTGTTAGGGCTTGCGTTTTCAACCCATGTAGAAAAGATATAACTGTCATCTGAAACAAAATTGCCGGAGAGTTACTGATTGGTAGGAAAGACAACACACTGAATGAAATTTACAGAAAATTAGGCACAACAAGCGGTGTATCACTGCCAAAGTCTACCAACAATATGTTGAAGGTGAAGTTTTATTGTACTGCAGTACTTTAGCAAAAGGAAAAAAAATCATTTGGCGACATCAATCTGAAGTTGTAAGTCATCAGCATTTGCATATTAAGTTAACACCAAATACTAAGGGTACATACACATGCTTCGTCTCAACTAGAGATGATATTGAAAACAGCACTTACCTTACATGTTCTTGCAATGTGGAGTGCATAAAAAGAGCTATTAATTACAATGATAAGGAAGTAATACGTGAATTAAAAAACGATATTGAAAAACGTTTTGTAACAAAAAAAGGTGATGTGTGGAATCAGTCACTGTAAGAATTACAATGTTCGACTAGCAGCTTACGAGGAATGCGCAACGTGAGCGACTTGTTTTGAAATAACGAAAACTTTCCCACTAAATATGGCAAGTTCTCGCAATTTCATTTGGCGCTGTTGCTGCTTTATTCATGTTTGATGTTTTTCAAACTGACAGAACGCGCTGTCGCAGCATAGTTAGGAATTTTTAAACAGGGCCGAAAATGGAACGTCCATTTGGGGGGGGGTGAATATTCGTATATTCAGGTCTGTCCGACTGATTTTGTTTGTTAGCGATCTTTAGCGTTCTAGTTTCGGCCCTGTTCTCAAATCTTAACCCATTTTTCAAAAACAATGAGAGAAATACGGCATGCAGATTTTCAATAAAGACTTAATATGCAATGCACGTATTCTCTCTCAACATATCTATCACGAAGCGATTTTTTATCCACGCATGTACGATTTAAGGCACAAAATGCCTCAAACAAAAAAATGACATTCATGTAAATAACATATAGATATATTCAATATAGGCCATCGCCAGCCATATTTTATTGCATGCGAAATAAATAAAAAAATTCAACACAGCTTTCCTTTCAGCGTTGTGAAAATGAACATGTTATTGCCATTCACTTAAAATCAATGAAAAGCACAAAAAAATTGTAATTATAAATTCTAAAAGAATGGAAACAACGTTTTACTTGGCACTTCGCCTAGAAACTGGAATAGAGCAATCGCGTTTCCGCTGATTACATATGTATTGTGTGTATTCTGACCATTGAAATGCAAGCATCGATTGGAGAAGCAAAAATAAGCAAAGTACGTATTCGTAACGAATGTTTAAAACACGCTCAGTTATTTAACAAACGTCTTATGGTAAAATCTTTTCAGATTTCGACGTTCGTTGATGTCATGATCAGCACAAAATAGCCGCTTCCACTTGTGCCTCAAACTACTGGTATGTACCTGTAAAAGCAGATTAATTAAGCCAAGTACGTAATTGCTGAAATCTGCCGAAAACCAAATTCAAGTCTCTAACAATTATTGCAATAACGTATTTTCATTTACTTTCAGTATACATAAATAACATTTTCAGAAAAAAATCTCTCCATGGATATTCCAATTGTAACCGTTGTTAACACAATTAAATTCTTCAACATCAACAAAAACATACTGTGGAAGACAAAAATGAGGACTTGTGCTGATAAATTGTAAGTGCTGATTTGTAATTGTAAAAAAATATATACTAAAGCATTATAAACCTGTGAGAATACATTGAGAATACTAAATCATCTATGAATAACTGCATTTCTATTTAGCTACAAGTGACGTGTTAAGAAAGCGGAAACGGGCATAAAGTAACTTTCGCACAATCTGCGCGAAGTGCTGGTTCACTGCTCTCGAAACTTCACTCGAACGATGGGACTGTATTTTGACAATTGTATTTAACACTTGATAGGATATTTACAGTGGTTTGTGCACGATTTATGATACGGAGTTCCAAACGTTGGTTCTTTGCGACACAAATATGTTATTGAAACGTTGAGATTACGGCCAACCGTCAATCTTTAAACTTGAAACTTATTCAAACGCTATCGCCTCCTGCGATACGACTTCCAACTTATCACTTTTGTACGTATAACAACATCTGTTTTCCGAACTCCCGAACCAACGCTTGCAAGCTCTTATTTATATTATAATTATTAGGATATAATTTTGGGCGTTTGCATGACTTGCACTACGCCATTCCGTTTATAGAGTACCGTCATTACCTATCCTACCGCAATGCCACATTGGGTAGAAAAAGTGTTCCTAAGTATTTTAAATTTACGTACAGGATTTCCACTGAAACCACAGTTTAGTAACTATATACGTATTTGTCTAATAATATATGACTTAACATTTTACATAAACATAATATCCGTTATCTTAGTATCAAAAATATGACACAGTCACACTCTACATAACATAACATGACAATTTACAACACACTCCCCACCTTGATTAGTCCCACTAATCAAGCATATTCTGTGTCTTCCAGACCGAATCAAGAGCAGCAGCTCTTTTGGGTCTGCCCTTATTTTCTACCTTCCTTCCTTTCAGTCCTTTCTCTCTCTCTCCTCGCTCATTCTCGCCTTCGTCGTGCTTCAACTCGGTAGGAAAGAGTTTTTGGACGGGACGATTAAGGTGAACGACTTTACCGTTCCTAACTAACCGAACCTTAGCGCCTCTAACCACACCATCTTTTCCTACAAATAACTCCTCTATTACACCTGTTTTCCAATTTCCCCTTTTCACATTATCCTCATAAACAGTTTCGACATCTCCCCTTTGCACTACCCTATTAGTATTGTCTTTGTCCTGCTTATGAAACTCTCTTAAATCAACTAAATACTCCTTTCGCCACCTATTCCAGAAATGCATTTTTTTCTTACTCAAATAGTGATACCGTTTTTTACAGTAACCCACGTCAGACTCCTCTTCACTAGACCCTTCGTCTGGCATGGACAACAATCTTCTTCCCGTCACCAAATGCGACGGAGTTAGTGGTTCACTACCCACCTCGTCGTACGTGTAAGTCAATGGCCTAGAATTTAATGTTGCCTCAACTTCTACCAATACTGTCAGTAGTTCGTCAAATGTCAACCTAGCATTTCCTAATACCTTCTTCAAGCACCTCTTCACTGACCTAACCATCCTTTCAAAAAATCCACCCCACCAGGGAGCTCTTTCTAGATTGAATTTCCACTCTATCCTATTGTTTCCCAAATACCCTTGCATTCTTTCATTTTTATAGAGGTTTTCTAAAGTCTTCACTGTTGCTTTGAACGTTTTGCATTGTCTGACACCATTAATGATGGGGTCCCCCTTCTAGCTGCAAATCGTCTTAGGCATCTCACAAATTCATCCGCAGACAAATCTTTTACTAAGTCTAAATGTAAGGCCCTAGTTACACAACATGAAAATAATGCGATATAAACCTTATCTGTGCCCCCCGGTGCATTCTTCAGATATAATGGTCCTGCAAAATCTACCCCTGTTTTCGAAAATGGTTCTGATTGCTCCACTCTAAATGCTGGAAGGTTTGCTTCGCTAGGTCTATTGTATGATTTACCCTCTAACTGCTTAAACTTATCTTCCTTCTTTAACCTGTCCTGTGAAGCCTTCACCCAAAGTCTTTCTGCTTTCTGTAACTCCTGACTCCCTAACTCTGTGAAAGCCAAATCCTCATGCTTCCCTTTGGTCCTAGCAATCAAATTCCTGACAAACCGTGCAACCCATGCTGTTACACGAAATAACCTTTCCACCCTACTGTATCTGTCTATACAGATAATCTGGTCTATACCAAATTTCTCACTAGCGTCTACTACTAGCACAGCCACCTTTCTTTCTTCTTGAACACTCTCCTCGGTCTTACTCACTACAGACTGAGGCCATTCCTGCTCTAGACTACTCAACCAATTTGGTCCATTCCACCAAATTGAATCCTCTTCTAACTTTGACGCAAACACCCCGCGACTCCCTAAGTCTGCAGGATTTTCTACCCCTGGACAATGCCCCCAGCTTTCCTTACTCGTTAATGATAGTATCTCATTCACTCTATGTCTCACAAACTGCTTCCATTCACCTCTATTCTGAATCCAATACAAAGCAGTGATGCTATCTAACCAATATCTTGACTTCAATTTTCCTACCTGCCCTTCTAAAGCCTTCCCTACTGACTCTACCAATTTAGCTAACATAAGCGCAGACATAAGCTCTAAACGTGGAATCGTCAGTTTCTTAAGGGGTGCAACTCTAGTTTTCGCTGCCAATAATTTTACATGAACGGTAGAGCTTGTGCGACAAACAAAATACACTACTGCGCAATAAGCCTTCTCACTTGCGTCGCCAAATCCATGGAGTTCGCACGACTCGACCCTTTCGATTACCTTACTGTAAACGCATCTATTAATTTTAATTCTTTGAACCCTAACTAAATCCTCAATCCACTCTAAGTATATCTTTGCGTGCTAAACTATTTGAATAATTTGACGGTAAGTGCTCATGACCCTGTTTCCATGGCAATTTTACTACATATTTTGACCCATTGAACTCTATTTTGTCAAGCAATGCTTCATGCACGTCATTAGTCTCTCTTACTCCAAGCGTTTCTAAATCCCACAATTTACTCACATCCCCATTAATGCTGTCTGCGTTTTGTGTTGCAATCTGTGAAACTAAATTAACGTGTGCGTTTTTAAGTTCGAGCTCCCTTTCAGTGGACCGCTTATTACCCAACCTAAACAAGTATTGATGGCAACGGGTTCGTCATCCTTGCCCTAATTATCTCACCTTGTTGAAATGCCCAAAGGTTATCCGCACCTATCAAAACATCAACATCTAACGTGTCCTGCTTCAAATTAACGTCTGACAACCACAAATCCTTCAAATGCGAATACTTTCTTATCTACCTCAAGATGCTCATTTTGATCGCGCAAATATGAGGAACTACTAAAGCCTCTACGCGTATTTTACGACCTCCTTGAACTGCCGATACCTCGCACTGAACAACCTCTGTCATTCTACCCTTGTTACTTCCGCCACCGAATGTATTAACTTCCAACCATTCTCGCCTGGCAACGTTGCTTGGCACTCTTCGCGTCACACGTCACAAAGGATTTCTGACTTCCCGAGTCGAAAAGCACTCGCACTCTTGTCTTACCCTTTCCTATAAGTACTCCCTGCGCAGTTTGAAGAGCCACCCTACTTCTAGTACTAACGTGGACATTAGCTACACTAACCTGTCCACTTTCTTCCCGACTATTTCTTTCATCCTTCTGGTTATTATTTATCTTATCACATATGGAAACATGATGACCCTCCCCACATACACTACATTTAATACGTGCACGACAATCTTTAGCTACATGTCCCTTATTTAAACAAATGAAACATCGTTTGAACTTACGAAGAAGTTGCATCCGTTCTTGCCGCCCTGTTACCTTGGTACATTCTTCATGCTTGTGCTCTCCACAGCAGAAAGCACAAAACAATCGGTTTTTGCGGCTGGCAAACAACCCGCTAGCTGTTCCCGGTTCCCGTCGTCTTCTTCGTTGATCTTCTTCTTTCTCTCCGACCGCTAATTTGTGGCATTCCCGCAGCTCCACTTCGGCTTGTAATGCGTCGACAAAATCTTTCATGCCCCACTCTAAGTAGTCTCTTCCCCTGGTAATTGTCAGTTTTAATGAGTTCGGTATCTTTGCTAGAAGATTGGGCACGACTATCTCGCAGTACGTTTCCTCCTTTACACCGAGCGCCTCGAGTCCTCGGTAATTTGTTTCGACCGCGTCGAAGAACTTGCGCAGCCTCGTCGTGTCACTCTCGTTGTACACGGGTTTTAAGTTCATCAAATCATTTACGTGTGCCCTTTGCACCATCACCTTGCTCCCGTACCTCCGTTCTAACACCTTCAGTGCTTCTGTATAGTTAATCGAAGTCAGAGCAAATCCCGAAATTGCTGACTTGGCCGGCTCCTCCACCAGTCCCCTCAGATAGGTGAATTTGTCGACCTCAGACAGTCCGTCATTGTTGTGAATGGAACTTTCGAAAGAGTCCCAGAATTCACGCCAATCTTGTATCTTGCCCGAGAACTTTTTCACCTCTAGTTTAGGCAGCTTCACTCTACAGCGTGCCCCACTGGATACTGTACTTGTCGATGTGTTGGCGAGTTCCTCGTTTCGTTTGTTCGTCTCTATCGTGCTCAGCGCTTCGTTAATTTCGGCCAACGCACCCAGAACTTCGCAGCCGTATTCCGATGAGCTGTCGATATCTGCTGCAATATCGTCATCCTTTTCCAACAAGCTCTGAATCTCATCGTCTAACTTCGAAATTGTATCCAATTTCTGTACGAGTACAAGCCGCATTTGTTCCAGTTCGACTTTCCTTAATGGCGCATTGTCGTTTACCATACTTCTCACCTTGTTCACAACTTTTGTGGCGTACGATTTATGCCCACTCCTCGACTGTCGCTTTCTTGTTAGCTCTGACATCGTGAACAACCCTTTTTTATCCTATCTATGTGTTCTCGAATTCTGCTACTCTATCCGGCTCGAAGGACCACGTTTCGCACAATCTGCGCGAAGTGCTGGTTCACTGCTCTCGAGACTTCACTCGAACGATGGGACTGTATTTTGACAATTGTATTTAACACTTGATAGGATATTTACAGTGGTTTGTGCACGATTTATGATACGGAGTTCCAAACGTTGGTTCTTTGCGACACAAATATGTTATTGAAACGTTGAGATTACGGCCAACCGTCAATCTTTAAACTTGAAACTTATTCAAACGCTATCGCCTCCTGCGATACGACTTCCAACTTATCACTTTTGTACGTATAACAACATCTGTTTTTCCGAACTCCCGAACCAACGCTTGCAAGCTCTTATTTATATTATAATTATTAGGATATAATTTTTGGGCGTTTGCATGACTTGCACTACGCCATTCCGTTTATAGAGTACCGTCATTACCTATATCCTACCGCAATGCCACATTGGGTAGAAAAAGTGTTCCTAAGTATTTTAAATTTACGTACAGGATTTCCACTGAAACCACAGTTTAGTAACTATATACGTATTTGTCTAATAATATATGACTTAACATTTTACATAAACATAATATCCGTTATCTTAGTATCAAAAATATGACACAGTCACACTCTACATAACATAACATGACAATTTACAACAGTAACTTCATATAAGTTCAGAATGCAAGAGGAACATTTCCAGAAAAATTGAAATTGTTGTATAATTTAGGATATTTCATTTATATATTTTATTGCATGCCAGATTTTATAAGTTCCCATGCAGAGTTTTATGTGTGCCAAAATTATAATTAAAAATTAGGGTGTATATACTTAACACTTCCTAAGTATTTTCTCTCTTAATTAATTCATGTTGTAATAGTGCACGTAAGTCACGAAATGTAAACATATAAATAGACTCAAATTTGTAATAGTCGGAGAGATGTGTAGATTGTTCATTGCTAATAAACTCCATAAAACAAACCGAATCAGAGTGCAGATCAATTTTCTGGACGAACTCAGTGAATTCTGCGACAAGTGGTCCTTCGAGCCGGATAGTATGGAGGAGTTAGCAAGAAAGAAAAGAGTACGAGCAGGTCATCGCGGTTACCTGACGAAAGTTGTGGCGTCGGCAGCAGGCTTAGTCGACGCATTCGATGAACGAAGAAAGAATGACGCGGAACAGCAACGCGACAAAATCTTGGAGACAGTCGCTATGCTCCAAAAACTGGATGAAGACATCCTTAACTTGATTGCTGGGGACGAAGAAGCGTCAGAACTTGACATTGTCAGCGAAGTCGAGGAAGCTGGAAGAATAAGTTCTGAAGCAAAGTCGATGGCGAGGAAGCTTCGCCAAAAGATTGACGGCAATTGCGCTTCGGAAAATAGAATGAACAGTTCGTTAAGGTCTGACGGAGGAGCGTCGGTGACCAATAGAACAGTTTGCGCAAAATTGCCAAAGCTGCACGTTAAGCGGTTCAATGGAAATGTTTGCGAATGGCAGGAGTTTTGGGATTCCTTCGAAAGCGCCATTCACGGAAATGGAAGTTTGTCCGACGTTGACAAATTCAATTATCTTCGGGGACTCTTAGGCGAACCAGCGAAGTCATGTATCGCGGGATATTCTTTGACTTCGGCGAACTACAACGCTGCAATAGACGCGTTGAAGGAACGCTATGGGAAGCCAGAATCGGTCCAACGAGCGCACATGCAAAACTTTTGAACTTAGATAGAGTGAAAGATCCGAGAGATATTACGTCTCTTCGTCACTTGTGTGATAGTGTCGAAGCACATCATCGAGGTTTGGATGCATTGGGAGTGGACAGCGCTACGTATTCATCAATCGTGGTACCTTACGTTTTGAACTTGATACCGGAATCGATTCGATTGTTGATCACGAGAGGCGAAAACTTCCATCAGTGGGATATGGACGATATGTTAAGAGCGTTAAAGTGCGAAGTTGAGCTGCGAGAAGAGCATCGAGTTCAGAGAGAGCAACGAGAACGGCATGGTGATCCTGAGAAGTCGTCAAATGGAGCCAGGCGGAACGATACGAAAACAGCAAGCGCCCTCCTGACAAAATCGGGACCGGTTCGTTGCGCATTCTGCCTGGGATGTCATCGGCATGAAGAATGTGAGAAGATCAAGTCAATTGAGGAACGTAAGAATATTATTAAGAAATACGGTCGTTGTTATATTTGTTTGGAAAAGGGCCACAAGGCTCGTGACTGTGACAACAATATTAAATGTAGTATATGTAAGAAGAATCACCACAAGGCTCTGTGTGATTCGGGAAAGGAAAGTAAGCCCCAGGGAACTGTTGGACAAAGGGAGGTTGAGAATGTAGATGCCAATAGTAGTAATACTCTATTTGTAAGTCCTAAGAATAGTTGTGAAAAAGCAGGATGCAATGTTGCTTTGCAAACTGCACAAGCAAAACTGGTTGGTAGTAAGTCGGGACGAGTAAGGGTTTTGTTGGATTCTGGGAGTCAGAGATCATTTGTTACTGAAAGGACGGCTAAAGCGTTGGGATGTAAAGTCGTTCGTGAAGAAAATCTGAGAATAGGAACGTTTGGGAAAAGGGCTTTAGAGAACGAGTTGAGAAGGGTTGTGCGATTGGATTTGAGTTCGTTGTCGGGTGGTGAAGTCGTATCTATCGAGGCATATGTTGTACCAGAAATATCAGTAATTAGTAATCAACATTTGGAGGTGGTTCGAAATAACTTTGAACATTTGAAGGGGGTTGTGGTTGTCTGATGTTTGTAAGGTAAATGAGGAATTGGAGGTAAACGTACTCGTGGGTGCGGATTACTTGTGGTCGTTGCAGAAAGGTCGTATTATGCGAGGGAAGCAGGGGGAGCCTGTGGCTATCGAGACGGTGCTTGGATGGGTAGTTTCAGGGCCGGTTGGAAGCACGGATAAGAATCAACCCGCCACTGCTCAGGTAAATTTTTGCTCCGCTAATAAAACTTGTATCAACGTAGAAAACTTTTGGGATTTAGAAAGCCTAGGAATTAAGGACAAAGTAAGTGATGTGCATGAATCGGTCATAAACGATCTTAGTTTTGACGGTACGCGTTATTCAGTGGGGTTGCCCTGGAGGGAGGGTCACGATCCTTTACCTACTAACTATGACTTAAGTCTTAAGAGAATGAAGGGACAAATCAGACGACTAGGTAAGAACCCAGAATTACTGAAGGAATATGACACTATCATTAAGGCCCAAGAAGAGTTAGGCATCATAGAGAGGGTAGGAAAAGATAGTGTGATTAATTCTCATGCCAAAATACATTACATGCCTCATCAAGCTGTCGTGCGAAAGGATGCCAAGACGACAAAGGTTAGAGTGGTTTATGACGCAAGCGCTAAAGTACTCAAGTCAAGTGTCTCTTTGAATGATTGTTTGCATATCGGACCTTCACTTAATCCACTTTTGTTTGATATTCTGCTTAGGTTCCGTGAGCAAAGAATAGCGCTAATAGCGGACATAGAGAAGGCCTTCCTAAACATTGAAGTGCACGAAAGGGATCGAGATAGCCTAAGGTTTTTGTGGGTAGATGATGTACTGCGCAACAATTTGAATCTTGTAGTTTACCGTTTTGTAGAGTCGTATTTGGGGTGAATTCGTCACCATTTTGCTTAATTCGACGTTAAGGCATCATATTAGCAAATATTTACAGTGCGATAGGGAATTTTCAGAAAAACTGCTAAAAGCTTTTACGTGGACGATCTTGCCAGCGGTGAATCTAGTACAGAGCGAGCGTATCAGCTATATCGTAAGGCCAACGAACGCATGAATGAAGGCGGATTTAAGTTACGCAAATGGCGGACTAATGATAGTGCGTTAAGATCGCAAATTGAAGAAGATGTGCGTGACGTGGAAAGTAGTTGCGTTGATGAGCAAACGTATGCGAAAACCACGCTTGCTCAAGTACAGGGTCAATTTGGTAAAGTATTAGGGTTGGAATGGGATAGCGTCGGGTGCGAAAGCGGAAAACACGGAACCGACGAAGAGAAATGTGTCGAGTCTGTTAGCTTGTATCTTCGATCCATTAGGGCTCTTGAGTCCTACGATTGTTAAAGCTAAAATTCTCTTTCAAGATATTTGTTACAGTGGCGTGGATTGGGACATTACATTGCCTAAAAGTGTGAAAGAGAAGTGGGAGAAGTGGTGGAGAGATCTAAAGGAGGTAAAGAGTGTTTCAATAGGCAGGTACTCGAGCGGCGTGACTGACACATCTGGCTCAGAATCAAAGCAGAGATATTTTTTGCATGGATTTGGGGATGCGTCAAAGCGAGCTTATTATGCGGTTGTGTATCTAGTAGTTTTGAACGGTAACGATGTTCGTGTTAAGTTGATTGCCAGCAAAACAAGAGTAGCCCCGATGAAAGAACTTAGTATTCCGCGGTTAGAATTAATGGCAGCTAGAATATTGGCTCATTTAATGTCTGCAGTCAGGAAAGCGTTAGAGTCAGAGTATAATTTTGAGGGCGTTAAGTATTGGACTGATAGTATGACTGTTTTGTATTGGATAGTCAACTCAGGCAATTGGAAGCAATTTGTTCAGCATAGAGTTGACGAAATATTAAGGCTTAGTTCAAAACAGAGTGGAGTCATTGTCCAGGTAAGGAAAACCCTGCAGATTTAGGGTCGCGAGGGTCTTGATGACTGAGTTAAAGAACGCGGAGGTTTGGTGGTCAGGACCGTCTTGGTTGGGGTAGTCCAAGGCATTATCCTATGGTGAAGGAGATAGTTCCCACAGTAGACAGCAAGGTTGAAGAGAAAAGGTCATTTGTTGTTAACCTAATCATAAGTGCAAGGTCATTGTTTGGAATTGGCAATGTCATTAGCATAAGTAAATACAGCACACTTACACGGCTGTTAAGAGTTACTGCGTGGGTGAAGAGATTCGTCTATAATTTGAAACAAAAAAGACTAGGATTAGAAATTTTTACCGGACCAATAAAAGCGAGCGAAATGAATGATGGAGAATGCGAGTGGATAAAGTCAGCCCAGCTAGAGTTACGAGAGCAACCCGAGTTTAAGCAGTTAGAAAGACAGTACGGACTGATAGAAATGAACGGGATACTGCATTGTACGGGAAGATTGGGTGAATCAGATTTGGAGGCAGAAGCTAGAGAGCCGATTGTTTTGCCTAGGAGACAGTATTTCACAGAGCTAGTGATTAGGCAGTGTCATGAATCTGTTATGCATGGGGGAGTTCGGAGCACGTTGGCGCAACTGAGGTCGAAGTATTGGGTACCCAAGGGCAGACAGGAAGTTAAGAGAGTGAGCGGTGGATGTGTAGCTTGTAAACGATGGAACAGTAAGCCGTGTACACAAATAAAGCAAGCAGCGTTACCAGAGTTTAGGGTTAGGAGAGCCGCACCATTTGAAAATTCAGGCGTAGATTTTGCAGGACCTTTGTACGTAAAACAAAGGCAAGTATGAGCAAGGTGTACATTGCGCTGTTCACCTGCTGTGTGACACGCGCGGTTCACTTAGAGTTAGTGCACGATTTGAGTGCAGCGACATTTCTGCGCTGTTTAAGAAGATTTTTTGCAAGGTTTGGAACACCGAAACTTATTGTTTCTGACAACGCCAAAACATTTAAAGCCGCAAAAAAGACGTTGCGCGACTTATTTCAATGCGAAGAAGTAGATAATTGCCTTAGCGCTAAGAACATTGAGTGGCGATTTAACCTAGAGAGGGCCCCATGGTGGGGAGGGTTTTTCGAAAGGATGATAGGGCTAGTGAAAGTCTGTTTAAGGAAAGTTTTGGGCAATGCAAAACTTACTTTCGACGAACTGACAACTGTTCTAGCTGAAGTTGAAGCTAAATTGAATTCTAGACCCTTAACGTATGAGTACGAGGAAGTGAATAGTGAAGTACTTACTCCTGCACATTTAGTCTATGGTAGGCGCATCGTGACATTACCCGATAGCAAGGACTCAAAAATTAATGATTTAGGACAAGATTCGACTAGAACAAACACTAGGACACGATTCAAACATTTAAGTACCATACTGGAGCATTTTTGGAGCAGGTGGAAACGGGAGTATCTCACGAATCTTCGGGAATTTCATAAGGTTGGGATGGCAGACAAACAGTCGGCGATAATTAAGCCAGGGATGTGGTCATTGTGTTTGAGCAGGGTAAGAAAAGGGGGGAGTGGAAGACAGGTGTGATTCAGGAATTGATTTGTGGCAAGGATAAGGTCGTTCGTGGTGCAAGGGTTTGCGTGATGACAAACGGTCGTCGCCAGGTGTTGAATAGAGCGATTCAGCATTTATATCCAGTTGAGGTTAAAGACGAGAGTAAGGTTGAAGGGTTGTTAAGGAGGATATGGTTAGCGGATGTAAGGAGAAGACTAAGAGAAAGGCGGCTTTGGACGCCAGGTGGAAGGTTAGCGATGCTTGACTCCTGAGTGAGTCAAGGGGGAGAGTGTTGTATAATTTAGGATATTTCATTTATATTTTTATTGCATGCCAGATTTTATAAGTTCCCATGCAGAGTTTTATGTGTGCCAAAATTATAATTAAAATTAGGTGTATATACTTAACACTTCCTAAGTATTTTCTCTCTTAATTAATTCATGTTGTAATAGTGCACGTAAGTCACGAAATGTAAACATATAAATAGACTCAAATTTGTAATAGTCGGAGAGATTGTGTAGATTGTTCATTGCTAATAAACTCCATAAAACAAACCGAATCAGAGTGCAGATCAATTTTCTGGACGAACTCAGTGAATTCTGCGACAGAAATTGTTAATCGACATTCTGATCGTGTCAACAACGTAAAAAATTGCGATAGAAAGGAAAATACTGTGGTAAATAATAGCCGATTTCTAATTATAAGATAATAAAGTAAAGTAATTATCTAGTAAGTCTGTAAAAATATAATATAAATAAGGCACATGTCTAATTATACCGTGACGTAAAGGTCCTGCATTAAAGTAATACTTGGTCACGACTGCTCCAAAAACAAGTCATTTACTTCATTCACTAAATTTTGAAAAAATTAAAGCGATGAGCAACTAGAACAAATTTTCAAAAAAAATAACCAGCACTGTTACGTCACTGCATAATTAATTTGGTACTAACAACCAAACAGAGTTTACTATTTTTAAACAATTTAGTAAAAAGTGAATTGTACTAATAAATTTTTTGTGCACTCTCCAGATTTTAGATATATTTTATACAATAAGAATATCTACAATATGGCAAAGTTTAAAAAAATTCTACCATGTAGTTTTTTATTTATAGGCCTTTGTTTGTTAAATAACAGGAATTCTTAACTTAAATATGCAATGTCATGCAGGTTGCATGATAAAATCGTTATTTTTTACAACGAAGTCGTCAAAAGAAAAACACTACGTTATTCAACAACAACAACATCTCGAATTCTTTTATTTTCAACAACACTCCCCCCTTCTGTGATAATCCCAAAATTTCAATCACGTGAAATGCACGCGCACGTCACAACAAAGCAAAATAAAAACAACTGTTCATCACATGCAAGATTATATTACGCGTATTCGTGTCATCCGACTTTGCCGATGATTTTCTACAAATTATTTTTTGTGCACTCTCCAGATTTTGGATATATTATAGAGAATAAACATATCAACAGTATGGCCAAGTTTAAAAAAATTCTACCGTGTAGTTTTTTATTTATAGGTCTTTGTTTGTTAAAGAACCGGAATTCTTAACTTATTTATGCAAGATTATATTACGCGCATTTGAGTCATCCAACTTTGCCGATGTTTTTCTATCATTTATATTTTTGTGCACTTTCCAAATTTTGATATATTTTAGACAATATAAAATTGTATAATATACTTGAGTTTAAAAAAATTCTACCGTGTAGTTTTTAGCTATAGAGCTGTTTGTCGAATGTGGTGCCAACTTCACGGTTTATTCTCAAGGAATACTATTCCTTTATATTTTTGTGCACTCTCCAGATTTTGATATGTTATAGACAATAAAAATATCTACAATATAGCCAAGTTTAAAAAAATTCTACCGTGTAGTTTTTTATTTACAGGCCTTTGTTTGCAAAGATACCTGGATATAGGAAGTTAATTATATAATATTATATTACGCGTATTCGTGTCATCCAACTTTGCCGATGATTTCTACAACTTATTTTTTTGTGCACTCTCCAGATTTTGGATATATTTTAGAGAATAAACATATCAACAGTATGGCCAAGTTTAAAAAAATTCTACCGTGTTTTTTATTTATAGGCCTTTGTTTGCAAAGATACCTTGATATAGGAAGTTAATTATTAAATATTATATTACGCGTATTCGTGTCATCCGACTTTACCGATGATTTTCTACAACTTATTTTTTTGTGCACTCTCCAGATTTTGGATATATTTTAGAGAATAAACATATCAACAGTATGGCCAAGTTTAAAAAAATTCTACCGTGTAGTTTTTTATTTATAGGCCTTTGTTTGCAAAGTTACCTGGATATGGGAAGTTAATTATATAATATTATTACGCGTATTCGTGTCATCCGACTTTGCCGATGATTTTCTACAAATTATTTTTTGTGCACTCTCCAGATTTTGGATATATTATAGAGAATAAACATATCAACAGTATGGCAAGTTTAAAAATTCTACCGTGTAGTTTTTATTTATAGGTCTTTGTTTGTTAAAGAACCGGAATTTTTAACTTATTTATGCAAGATTATATTACGCGCATTTGAGTCATCCAACTTTGCCGATGTTTTTCTATCATTTATATTTTTGTGCACTTTCCAAATTTTGGATATATTTTAGACAATATAAAATTCTATAATATACTTGAGTTTAAAAAAATTCTACCGTGTAGTTTTTTAGCTATAGAGCTGTTTGTCGAATGTGGTGCCAACTTCACGGTTTATTGTCAAGGAATACTATTCCTTTTATATTTTTGTGCACTCTCCAGATTTTGGATATGTTATAGGCAATAAAAATATCTACAATATAGCCAAGTTCAAAAAATTTCTACCGTGTAGTTTTTTATTTACAGGCCTTTGTTTGCAAAGATACTGGATAAAGAAGTTAATTATATAATATTATATTACGCGTATTCGTGTCATCCGACTTTGCCGATGATTTTCTACAAATTATTTTTTTGTGCACTCTCCAGATTTTGGATATATTATAGAGAATAAACATATCAACAGTATGGCCAAGTTTAAAAAAATTCTACCGTGTAGTTTTTTATTTATAGGTCTTTGTTTGTTAAAGAACCGGAATTCTTAACTTATTTATGCAAGATTATATTACGCGCATTTGAGTCATCCAACTTTGTCGATGTTTTTCTATCATTTATATTTTTGTGCACTTTCCAAATTTTGGATATATTTTAGACAATATAAAATTCTATAATATACTTGAGTTTAAAAAAATTCTACCGTGTAGTTTTTTAGCTATAGAGCTGTTTGTCGAAATGGTGCCAACTTCACGGTTTATTGTCAAGGAATACTATTCCTTTATATTTTTGTGCACTCTCCAGATTTTGGATATGTTATAGACAATAAAATATCTACAATATAGCCAAGTTTAAAAATTTCTACCGTGTAGTTTTTATTTACAGGCCTTTTGTTTGCAAAGATACTGGATAAAGAAGTTAATTATATAATATTATACGTATTCGTGTCATCCAACTTTGCCGATGATTTCTACAACTTATTTTTTGCACTCTCCAGATTTTGATATGTTATAGACAATAAAATATCTGTAATATGGCCAAGTTTAAAAATTCTACCGTGTAGTTTTTTATTTACAGGCCTTTGTTTGCAAAGATACCTTGATATAGGAAGTTAATTATTAAATATTATATTACGCGTATTCGTGTCATCCGACTTTGCCGATGATTTTCTACAACTTATTTTTTTGTGCACTCTCCAGATTTTGGATATATTTTAGAGAATAAACATATCAACAGTATGGCCAAGTTTAAAAAAATTCTACCGTGTAGTTTTTTATTTATAGGCCTTTGTTTGCAAAGTTACCTGGATATGGGAAGTTAATTATATAATATTACATTACGCGTATTCGTGTCATCCGACTTTGCCGATGATTTTCTACAAATTATTTTTTTGTGCACTCTCCAGATTTTGGATATATTATAGAGAATAAACATATCAACAGTATGGCCAAGTTTAAAAAAATTCTACCGTGTAGTTTTTTATTTATAGGTCTTTGTTTGTTAAAGAACCGGAATTTTAACTTATTTATGCAAGATTATATTACGCGCATTTGAGTCATCCAACTTTGCCGATGTTTTTCTATCATTTATATTTTGTGCACTTTCCAAATTTTGGATATATTTAGACAATATAAAATTGTATAATATACTTGAGTTTAAAAAAATTCTACCGTGTAGTTTTTTAGCTATAGAGCTGTTTGTCGAATGTGGTGCCAACTTCACGGTTTATTCTCAAGGAATACTATTCCTTTTGTATTTTTGTGCACTCTCCAGATTTTGGATATGTTATAGACAATAAAAATATCTACAATATAGCCAAGTTTAAAAAAATTCTACCGTGTAGTTTTTATTTACAGGCCTTTGTTTGCAAAGATACCTTGATATAGGAAGTTAATTATTAAATATTATATTACGCGTATTCGTGTCATCCAACTTTGCTGATGATTTCTACAACTTATTTTTTGTGCACTCTCCAGATTTTCGATATGTTATAGACAATAAAAATATCTACAATATAGCCAAGTTTAAAAAAATTCTACCGTGTAGTTTTTCATTTATAAGGCTTTGTTTGTTAAAGAACCGGAATTCTTAACTTATTTATGCAAGATCATATTACGCGCATTTGTGTCATCCAACTTTGCCGATGTTTTTTCTATCATTTATATTTTTGTGCACTCCAGATTTTGGATATATTTTAGGCAATATAATTATCTATATTCTGGCCAAGTTTAAAAAAATTCTACCGTGTAGTTTTTATTTATAGGCCTTTGTTTGCAAAGTTACCTGGATATGGGAAGTTAATTATATAATATTATATTACGCGTATTCGTGTCATCCGACTTTGCCGATGATTTTCTACAAATTATTTTTTTGTGCACTCTCCAGATTTTGGATATATTTTAGAGAATAAACATATCAACAGTATGGCCAAGTTTAAAAAAATTCTACCGTGTAGTTTTTTATTTATAGGCCTTTGTTTGCAAAGATACCTGGATATAGGAAGTTAATTATATAATATTATATTACGCGTATTCGTGTCATCCGACTTTGTAGATGTTTTTCTATCATTTATATTTTGTGCACCTCCAGATTTTGGATATATTTTAGGCAATATAATTATCTATATTCTGGCCAAGTTTAAAAAAATTCTACCGTGTAGTTTTTAAGTTATACGCTAATTAAGAGAAATGGAAAGTACACTGTAATATAAATCTTAGTGTTTTCTTCAATTTCTTGACTTTTATACATTTTTTGTGATGGTTAAGGACAGTAAAATAATAATAAACAGTTAAGAATTGTTTTTTCTATTTTATTTGATGGAAAACGTGTTTTAAAGACGATTTTTCGATTTATCATTTTGAATGATAAATTTTAGTTGAATGTGGTGTTGAATGTTGTGATGAATGTTGTATTGAATGTTGTGCCCAATGTGGTGCCAATTTCACGGTAGTATTTCTAGTTCTACTCAGCGATTAGGATCAATGGAAACTTCTAAAAAGATCGATGTTCTTGAAAAGCTCGTCCAAAACTTTCAGCAAGAGAACGCTTGCGAAATTATTTCTGGTGAATTGTCTAACTTGAGACAACACTGTGTTAAAATAATCAACGAGGAAAGGCTTCGTCGTATAAATTCTACTGGCGATATTATGCTACGAACTTGTTCATTTTCAAAACTGCAGTTCCCTGAAAGCCAAATTGAAAGATCAGGACCCAATGTCCCTGATAGGTAAGAATTTTCATGTATTGGGGTATTAATTTATATTTTTATTTACGTTTGACATCTTGGCCTGAAATATATGATCAATCCGTTAATTTTCAGCTATTCACATTTAGTGTATCATGTAAAATATATGTCTAAAGCTGTCATTATTTTGCATACTCAGTCTGTCTAATGTACGGCCTAAATAATTTTAATTGTTACTGTCTGTCAAAAAAAATTGTTTTACTTCAATATTAGTCAAAGCTAGTCCTTTTTAAAATTTAACCCAATCAATAATGTATTATCCTTGTATTCCTGGCATTTTATGTTATCCCCTGGTTAAAGAAACTGACATATCATTTTGAATAACCGTTGCTTTCTTTCGCAGGTTATATAGAATATTGATGCTATAGTAGATGGAATCAATAAGTCGTCTGAATCCTGTTCGACATGCCTAGACTAGTTCCAAATCTTAGACTACCTGCCTGTGACTTTGACTTTATCATGATGTTACCAAATTAACACAAAGACAAAATAACTTCCTCAATTTCAATATTATTAGTCTATCTTTAACAGTATTGGTTACCCTTGTTTATTCTAATGTCAGAGTCAGTCTAGCAGATTTGTTTCCAGGTATAGCTTGGTATAACAAAGCAGCCATTAATACTTAAATACTAATTTTTCTTTTAGTACTTTAGCCAATGGGAATTGTCTGTTCAATGCATGTTCTATTGCATTAGTTGGGAATGAGACTCTCTCTATTTACTTGAGATTCCTAACTAGTGTTGAAATGTTTGAGAATGCAAAATACTATTCTACCCATCCTGTCATCGAGTCCCAGCATAAAAATGGTGCTTTCACTTCACTTAAAAATGCCTTTGCCATGTGTATATCCGATGCAGCTCTAACCTCTTTAGAAAATGCGAATGAAATTGCAGCAGTTTTACAAGAAGCAGTGGAAAGAGCAAATAATTACACCTTTTCACCCTTGATGGGTATGTTTGCTTTGTCCACAGTAATCCAGTGAGCTATTCAGTCATACTACCCAATTACTAATGATGCTGAAGTGAAAGGGAATTGGGATTCGTTGGCTAAAATGTTCAATTGTACAATATATCCAAGAGATTTGGTTGATGGGAGTGCAATTGACTATGTCCATATCTTTCGTTGTGCTGCGATGCCACCTTCTTATTTGGTAGATCAAAAAATTCCCATCCACCAAAAATCATTTTGTTACTTTGTTTTTAGAGGACCACCTTTGAACATTGCTTTTATTAATCTTGCCAACTTTACGATTATTGGATAAACATCTTTGCTGCTGTTGGAAGAAGATCACCTTTGAACATTGCTTTTATTAATCTTGCAATCTTTACGATTGTTGTCCCATCTTCCCCATCTTTGTTGCCCCATCAAATGGTCTTTTTCGAAAAGCAGCGAGGATGCCTTTTGTAACAGCCATAAAGATGGCAAGACTAATAAAAGCAATGTTCAAAGGTGGTCTTCTTGCAACAACAGCAAAGTGTGAAATTTTTAATGTGTGTATTTTATATTGTATTTTATAGTAAATGCAGCTGACAACAAGCAAAGGGATGCCGAAATGTCTTATATTAGAATTTCCATTGATGCGTAAGTTTATATTTTATGGCTACTTAAAAACTCTTATTGAAGCGTACATTATGTTTTTTTTCAAAGTATTTTCCTTGAAAATTCCTGGAAAATCGACTTTCGCGGTTTTTTATTCGCAGTGACCGTAATTAATTTCAAAACTATTTAATTACGAATGTAACTTCGAAATCATCTATGTAAAAAAGCCAGTTGATAACTACGTTATTCCTGAGATAGATCCATTATAATTTCGTAGGGAGGGAGGGGGGGGGGTGCTATAAGTGTGTCGTTACGTATGTCATTCATCAAGACATGTCAATCATCTAAAACATGAGAGGATTAAGGTGCTGTGTATGTGTGATTGGCTTATTTATGGTCACATGACTTGAAATAAATGCAATTTTTTTCCGCCAGTGAAACCATTGAAAAATTGCTGCCTGCTTATTTTGATATCATAACGAATTCGTAAAACGAGATTAAGCGACGAAATTTAACTTTAAATCCAACTACCTAACACATAAAAGGTTTTTGCAGTTCTTGCGCGTTGATCACTTTAGCGACGTTTTCCTATCTGTTCGCCTTTTTTTTCACACACCCTGTATAACAAGCCATCAGTCGCTACATCCCCCGGGAAATGGCGTTTTTGCTATCACTCGAGTCTCTACATTGGGACGGACTCAAGGAAAACAAAACTCGCTATTTCCCTCGTGAACGTACTGCACGTTGAGTTTATAATATACCTTTTTATTTAGCAAGAATAAACGAATCAGTGTTAAAAACGATGGCAAAGGCGTTCCAGTTGAGATGCATAAAGATGAAAACATGTATGTTCCGAGCAAGATTTTTGGACATTTGTTAACATCGAGTAACTATGACGACAGTCAGAAAAAGGTCACCGGCGGTAGAAATGGCTATGGTGCAAAGTTATGTAACATCTACAGCACTGAATTCACTGTCGAGACAGTTTGCAATAGAAAACATTTCAAACAGGTAATTAAATATAGTTGTGAAATTTGCGACGATTGTACCCATGTGGCCCTAGGTGATGTTACACAATGGCGCAGGTGCGAAGTTATGTAATAACATCTACAGCACTGAATTCACTGTCGAGACAGTTTGCAGTGTGGCCTTCCCATAAAGTTTCCGTCTTAGTAACTTTTGTTTCCTCTATGCTTGATTTTAGACATGGACATTCTTCTCTTAAGCGGCAATTAGTCATCAAATGAGATTAAGAAACAACAAACAAATGTTGGTGTATTTACCATGATCGTGGACTCTACATTAAAGAAAGTGGTTATTGTTCACAGCGGTTGAAGAGAATTGTGGCTGTTGTCGACCAGTTCCTTCTTCCCTTGAACTACGTTACGAGTTAATAAAATGTTCAATGTAAGTATGTTATCAATGTTTTTCATTTATGGAAGTATAGTGAATAAACCATAAAATATTTGTGTTGTTATTATTACATGTACATGATGAGTTTTATTCATGACGTAGATAAGTTTGGGTGAGCTTCCTACGGCTGACAAATCATTTTTACATAAAAAAATAATCCTCCTGTGAAAATAAGCTCGTTTCAATCGTATCATACATATATAAATATGAGCTCCACTTCCCAATTATCAATGTTCATCACTATTTCTTGTATAAAGTAAATGGTTTGAACCCGGGAGTATCGTTATATGTTTGTAAATGATGATAGTCCAGGTTAATAAAGTCCTGAGAAGGACTGTTTTTGTTGTTGTTGACTGAGCACAAACGAGCTACTAAGAAACAAGACAAAACTAATCACATTGCCGAACATCACCGAATCACAAAGCACAACATTGACTGGGACTCGGCAAAATGCATCACTTAGTACTGACTATAGACAACGGCTTACATTAGAAAGTTGGTATACCAACTTGGAACACACCCCCCTGAACAGATCACAGCAATTACCGGCACCTTACAAACGACTTATTCACAATACAAACAAACGATCAACTAAAAACATTACACTTCAAACTAATTCACAATGACAATACACAATTGACACCAACACACTACAACTAAAAACGTCACACCTAAATCACACATCACAACTAAAAATAAAATATTTCACTTCACACTAATCCACAATGACAATACAGATTTCCTGCACATTTCCTGTACACACAATACAATGACGTAAGAACCAGACAACAAATACGGCTAACCTGACGTTTACAGGGTTGCCAGTTTGGCCTTTTACCGGCCAAATAACTGAAATTTGGCCTTTTTGAAACCTGTTTGGCTGGGAAAATTAAAGCTAGCCGGCCAAATCGATTTTGGCCTATTTTGGCCTTTTCAAATTTTGATGTCATGAAATTTTATTATTAATTATATTACTCGTAATTGACTGATAATGATGTATCAGATGAGTACTGTTGTGGTTGTACCCAGTACTTATGCTCTTCCTCGGCCTGATTTGTTTTCTTCATGGCATTAAAATCAGCTCCCCAGTTGCAGAAGACATTGGAACAATTTCAAGTAAGCAGTCGGTTACTTTGCACTGTTTCTCACTGAAGTAACGAATAATAATTGCCAGATCCTTAGCATGATACACTCATAGTTTTCTGATGAATGTTTAATGTCATTCTTGCACAAAATAACTTGTTTCCTATTTCACGAAACACGCCAGAATAAAGCAAGAGTTAAGAATTCATATCAGCCTTTTCGCGTTATATTCTTTCGCGGACCGTTGGGCTCTAGGGGAAATTAGCTCAAATACAACCTTTTCCCAGCAATTAATATCATAACTTTAATTAACAGAAAATTTGCATCTCTACTCTAGGGCAGCTCTTGGTTCTTCTGTTCACAAAGTTCTTACACTTCTGTCTCTAATATATGTTTCCTTCTTATTATCGTAATTCTCAATCGGTAGTTCTGCTGTTCAATAGTTCAATGTTCGATTCTAGTTAATGGCGTATCACGTGCTAATTCACGTGCAGTATTCGTGAAACATATCAATATATCATATTTCATGTCCTATTTGTGCTTTGTTTGTATAACAAACATTTACTTAGTATTAACAGATGTGAAAATCAGGCTGTGATTAGAGGTGTAGAGTTGTTTGTTTGGGAACGTTCTTTTTTTCGTTATAAAATTTTCAAAATGCCAAAATGGAAATCAAGTTACGATAGCGGCCGCAAGTACAATTCCAAATGGGAAATAGATTTTAGCTGGGTATCTGAAGCACCTAATAATAAGGACAAAACATATTGTACGCTTTGCCGTCGCTTGTTACAGGCTAAGCGAGATGCTCTGGCGACCCACGAAGAAAGTGATATTCATCGCTCTTTTGTATCTAGAAGTTCTTTTTCACGGCCGTTGACAACTTGCTTTCCATCAACCAGTTCAACATCAAAACGTGCCATACAGGAGTCCGAGATTATGATCGCTGTTCAGACAGCTTGCCATGGATCCATCCAGACAGTAGATCATTTTGGTGAGATATTGGCAAAATATGGCAAAAAAAGTGATTTGGAACATATTAGATTGCACCGCACCAAATGCACGAAGATCATCACCGAAGTCGTAGGTCCAGCTTTAAAGGAAGATATCAAAAAAGATGTTGAAGGAAAGCATTTTTCTTTAATTGTGGACAAAACGACGGATATATCAGTCGCTAAGGATCTGGCAATTATTATTCGTTACTTCAGTGAGAAACAGTGCAAAGTAACCGACTGCTTACTTGAAATTGTTCCAATGTCTTCTGCAACTGGGGAGCTGATTTTTAATGCCACGAAGAAAACACTGGACTGGTACTGTTTAGATTTGAAGAATTGTATGGGATTTGGATGCGATGGTGCCAGTGTAATGGTTGGGCAGCATAACTCAGTGTGGTCCAGAATCAAAGAAATTAACCCAAGTTGTATACTTATGAAGTGCATTTGCCATTCGTTGCCCTTATGTGTTCAGCATGGTTTCAACAAGCTGCCCAGTAACCTTTCATATCTTTTAGAGGAAATTCCTGCTTGGTTTTCGCAGAGCACAATTCGCGGTGATGAGTATAAAGCGTTGCACGATGAATTGAATGATAGCACAGGATTTATCGGTTTTTCAGGAACTACGATGCCATTTGTGAAGTTCTGTAGTACGCGTTGGCTTTCAAGAGGCAAAGTTATTTCAGCAATTTACAAGAATTGGGACGTTCTGCAAAAAGATTATGAAAACATCACCACTGAGAGTTAAAAATTGACGCCATCCCAAAGGTACAAGGCAAGAGAGCTCCTCCGCATGGTACAAGATAATGTTAACCACTTGTATCTTACATTTGCGCTTCCAGTGGTTACTGAGTTTGAACGAATAAATGCCCTTTTCCAATCGAGCAAGTCCAGTCCTGACAAAGTGTTGAGAGAGCCTCATCTTCACCATCGCACAATGAAATCAAGAGTGTATGATAACCGCGATAATAAGAAAACTCTGCACCAAATTGATTTTGGAAGTAAATTTATGGCGGAGTTCAATGCTCTGCAAAAGAACGACAGCAACAACGAGAACACCCTGCTGGCTGTAAAACAATGCTGTCTCGAAATGCTGATGACTTGTATTTCTCAGGTAGAGGCACGTCTTCCTGATAAAAAAATGTGTTTTCAGAGCTTGTTGCACTCACCCCAGATGTAGTTCTCAACCAAGTTCGACGAGTGGATTTTGGAAAGCTACCGTACCAGCACCTGATGGGAGAGTACAGTGACAAAATTGAAGAAGAATACCGGCAAATGATTCACATTAACTGGAAGGAAGAGCTTCCTGGGGGTATCATTCCAACTGATACCGAATCTTTTTGGCTTGTGGTCCGACAAATGCTAAGATGTGATCTTGAAGATGCAAAGTTTGCAACTTTAGCAAACTATGCACTGTCTTGTTTGTCAGTGCCAATTAGTAATGCTATCGTTGAGCGTTTATTTAGTACTGTGACATTTATTAAGAATAAGCTTCGCAACCGAATGTCTTTTAAGACGCTGGATGCGTTGACACGAATCCGAACAACTCTCTATTTCCAGTCCAAATGTTGCAAAGATTTCACAGTGACAGAAAGAATGTTTCAGCTGTTCACAACGGAAAACATGTACCAGCTTGATGAAGAACGGAACCAAAACACAAACCGGGAGGGCAAAGAAGAGCAGGATGTTGACTGTGAACTGTTACCGTTGTTTGATGATGTATGAATTTTATAACTTTTCAACATTCCAAGATTTGCAAGTCATTATCAACAAAAATGTAAACTGACTTATTAGACAAAAATATTTGTTAATCTTTTTGTTATATCTTTTAATGATATACATACTTTCATCTTTTATGTTTTGTTTAACTGTTTGGAACGGTTGTTGAAATATAGGCTGAACTGACTTAATAGTCACTTTACAAAGTCATTGTTTTCAATATGCATTGTACATAATTTCCATGGTTTTGTCATGAAATACAACACAGTACTCAAGCGCGCATATGTTTCGAAATGGTTTCGGTATATTTAAAAACTTAACATATATAGTTCAGTGGCAATGAGCAATTTGGCCTTTTATAATCCAGTTTGGCCGATTTTGGCGATCAGTTTGGCCGATTACGTCAAATACGACCTGGCAACCCTGGACGTTTACTCCTCATTTGACTCTGAAGATGACTACCGCTAAGGTTGTCGAAACGTCAGTCAACAACATCAAAAACAGTCCTTCTCAGGACTTTATTAACCTGGACGATCATCATTTACAAACATATAACGATACTCCCGGGTTCAAACCATTTACTTTATTACGATCATTTGGACGACAGAGCGAACAACTTGCTAACGACTACATACGTTTTGCAAGCAACGTCAGACGCATACGCCAACAACTCTGGTTCAACCACCGCTGCAAGGATTTTGGTCTCGTTCCGGCAGGACTTAGAATTAAGTCTCCGTTGAACACACAAGAGGCTATTCAGATTGTCAAATCCACCAGCAGACGACTGATACGAGCACGGATTAACGACTGTCACAGACGAATCAACTATTACATCAAACAACAAGAACAAAGACTGAACAAACTGAAGGAACTCATACCAACGACAGTAAGTGATACTTTACTTTCTACCATACAAACTATTGCAGAGAAACGAGCAAACAAGACAGAGACACAACACCAAATCAAACAACAACAAAAACTTGAACGTTTAAAACAAACTAAAACACGTGCAAGACATAAACATGACGATAACTGGGTGAGGAATATTTCTTCCCGCCCATTAGACGAAACTGAAACGCGACTACTATCTTACGGACTAAAACATTCCATAACACCTAGACAAATCCCGACTGAGACGATAGTATCAAGTGTCGAGGCTGTCCTAGCGTATCAAAGAGACTTGTCAGAGACAACAAAAGACGAGATCAGAAGCAGGATAGCCTCCACTTTACAATCGTCCTCTATACGTGACAACAATTTGACAAAAGACGAACAACAAGCACTCAAACGACTAAAACACGACAACAACATCGTCATTTTACCAGCAGATAAAGGACGCGTGACTGTGGTCATGGACAGGAATGATTACTTTAACAAAATGGACACACTTGTTAACGACAGACAAACGTACGAACAACTCAAACGAGACCCAACACCATCACTAGTACGCAAACTTAACAGAAAGATCTTCTCTATGAGAAAATCTAACATTATATCTGAACGTATTTACTATCGACTCAGATGTTCAGTACCACGACCACCCAGACTATACGGACTACCAAAACTTCACAAACCACAAATACCCATGCGACCAATTGTATCATTCTGTGGTTCGCCTACTTACGAACTTTCAAAGTACTTGACTAACATACTGCAACCACTTACAAACAAATCAAAACACAAGCTACAATCCACTGAAACTTTCATTAAAAAACTGTGCACTATACAAATACCAGACAACTATATACTAGTGTCTTTTGATGTGAAATCACTGTTCACCAGTATTCCACTTAATCTGGCACTTACTTGTACAAAAACCCTCATTACAAACACCACGGACGTACTGCCATTACCGACAGAAGACATTATGGAGTTACTAGAGCTCTGCCTCACCTCGACTTACTTCCAATACAAAGGAACACACTACAAACAATTACATGGGACAGCAATGGGCTCGCCCGTTTCTGTTGTAGTTGCTGAAATTGTAATGCAATCTATAGAGGAACGGGCACTCATGACTTACAAACATGCACTACCTTTTTGGTTTCGCTACGTAGATGACACAATCACAGCACTACATGCAGACGAGATTGATGACTTCCATACTCACATCAACAAACAGAACAGCCACATACAATTTACCAAAGATGTCGAAGAAAACGGAACTCTTCCTTTTCTCGACTGTTTGGTAAAACATGACAATCAAAACTAGGAACAACAGTTTATCGCAAGCCAACACATACTGACCGACTACTAGACCAATCATCTTACAACCCTACATCACACAAAGCCACCACAATCAGAACATTAACAAGACGTGCACAAATCATATGTGATTCACCGGACGCTCTACAAAACGAAAACAACTATCTCAAACGTGTTTTGACAAAACAACTATAACTCTGACTTTATCAAACGCAACACTTACAAACCCAACGAACCCAACGAAACGAACAACTCAGTGACAACAGCAACGATACCTTACATCAAAGGTACGTCTGAGACTATCTCGCGTATCTTACGACCATACAACATACGTGTCGCACATAAACCAATCACAACATTACGACAAGTACTAACGAACATAAAGGACAAAGAACAACCCAACGAACGACAAGGTGCAGTTTACAAAATAAACTGCTCCGACTGCCACGCCTCCTATATCGGGGAAACTGGCAGGAACTTAAACATAAGACTTACTGAGCACAAACGAGCTACTAAGAAACAAGACAAAACTAATCACATTGCCGAACATCACCGAATCACAAAGCACAACATTGACTGGGACTCGGCAAAATGCATCACTTACAGTACTGACTATAGACAACGGCTTACATTAGAAAGTTGGTATACCAACTTGGAACAAACCCCTGAACAGATCACAGCAATTACCGGCACCTTACAAACGACTTATTCACAATACAAACAAACGATCAACTAAAACATTACACTTCAAACTAATTCACAATGACAATACACAATTGACACCACACACTACAACTAAAAACGTCACACCTAAATCACACATCACAACTAAAAATAAAATATTTCACTTCACACTAATCCACAATGACAATACACATTTCCTGCATTTCCTGTACACACAATACAATGACGTAAGAACCAGACAACAAATACGGCTAACCTGACGTTTACTCCTCATTTGACTCTGAAGATGAGTACCGCTAAGGTTGTCGAAACGTCAGTCAACAACATCAAAAACAGTCCTTCTCAGGACTTTATTAACCTGGACGATCATCATTTACAAACATATTTCTTGTATGTTGGTCGTAAGATAGCTTTGACGGTGAAAGAAAACAAATAAAAATACCTATAAATTTTTTACTAAACGTATATAGCGAATGATTTATAGATGCTGATGCGCACCAAAAACTTAGTCAATCGTTGAAGTAAATCTTGACTGACAATCTGTCTACCACTTATTTATTTTGATTCATTTATCCATGTGATAATCTATATGTGGGTATTATAACTCCTGGGCATAATTATAATCTATAATTATCATTGGCTAATTAGATTACTGCCCTATCCAGATTTATTTAATTTGATTGTGGTCAAATTCTATGGATGGAGACAATGGATTCACTAATGATGCCTTGAATGCTTTGAAGTTAAAGTTCATGATCCAAAGAAAGATGGCAAGAAGGTTGTGTGTGTTTTGATGCTTAATGAAATGTCAATTCACAAACATATAAAATGGGAAGGCGATAAAATTTATGTCTATGTAAACATTTGTACTGAGATTGATGATGACTCGATGCAGATTTGAAGCATGAAACTGTGTAAGCCATTGGGTTTTATATAACTTAATGTTTAAATCATGTCATATCTTTATCAAAATGTTTTAGTTGAGTGTTGTTTAAATGTTACTAATATCTAATGCACTACACTGAAGCATTAAAGATTCAGTGATGAAACCTTTAAAGTTACTGTACTGTATATTTCTTCATTATAACAGTTTTTGCTTTAAGAAACAGTTTGAGCTTATTTACCTAGTAAAGTACAGAATGGAGATTTATCATATGCATTATTGCTGCTTTTTTTAAGGAAATGTTTTTCACTTTTCAAAGCTTTTCTACATTTCTTTTCCTGAGATTATGATATAAAGCTAATATAATCCAATAACTTTCTAATTTCTAAAAAGCTCTTAAGCTTCTAGCATAAAAGTACACTATAGGTATGTAAATCATTTGGTTTTATTGCCTTGCTATGACATATCCATATGCATTTCATCATTCTTGTATGAAGAAAACACCAGATGTGGATACTCAGAGAACAAAATGCACTACCAACTGCTTATGAAATTTATTATTGAGGTGAAAACTGTGTTAATCATTCAAATTATAGCGCACTTTTATTGCAAATATAGGAAAAACAAAACAAAGTGAAAAAGAAAGGTAGAAGTATTAAAACTATAAACACCATAAAACACCATAAACAAATTAAACACCATTGGAAGCATAAGTGTTTTGATGATTATTTGCATTTTGCCCAATTCATATATCAATACAACAAAATCAAAATGTGCTACAACTTTACAAGTATTTGATGCAGTTACACTTCAGAACATCACAAAAAGGTTACTTAAAGTAATTTCTATACAATATTGTTTGATTTCATTTACCAAACTTATGCAGACTTGAGTCTTTTTGAAATTTCATATGAAACTCAATTACAGAAAATCTGTAAATATCCAGAGATTTAATATGTACTTTTTTAAAGAAACAAGTAAAAATCCTACAATTGTGGCGAAAAAAGCCATTGCCCATTGCATGAAAAGAAGGAAAATAGCAATGATAACAAATAAGCTAACTTCTCTCTCGTTGCATTCATACATGTGTAGCCGACATAATAGCTCTTTCGTCGATAGTTATAAATGCATCCTCGTAGGAGCAGATAACTGATAACCACAGTTGACTCACCGTTATGAATTTAAGGTTTTTACCTTGATTTTCATCAAAAAATTGCTTGCCGAGACCCAAATACACACATTCTTTTTTCTCACTCTTTCTTCAGGAGGAAGTAGGAAATTGTGAAATTTTCGGAAAAGCGGTCAATTTCGGTAAATCTGAGCGGCAAAGGACGAAATCCCCCATCTGATGCGCGATATATTTTTTGCTACTTTGGCTAGCAATATTGTGATACATCACACAACATCACACTATCACACTCGAATGACGTAATGTCCGCAGAGTCGCATTCGTCTTTCTCCCGAAAATACTCGATGAAAACTCTCCTCACTGACAATTTACACCCGTTTCGCTCATTCTAAATGGGTATTACTCAGAGTTCTAAATTTTAGAATGCGGAAGATAGCCAATTTAGATTGCTTTCTGTGCTATCTAAAGGCTATGTTTGTCTCTCCTGACCTCAATATCTCTGGACACTGTTAGTGTGAGACAGAAAAGATGGCGCTTAGTAGGAGCGGCAATCGCAGGGTAAAACCATACTCTTTGACTGTGAAGACATACTCTGCGTCTGGGAAACTTAGTAGGAAAAATATTTCTCTCTCTCCTAATGTTGTTCTTCCCATTCGCACGATCGATACATTTGAAGGCTTTCAAGAAAACCTTAACGAAGGTACAAATAATTTACGTGGAACTGGATCTCGATATGAAAGGAGGAGAGTGAATGAAAACGAATCCTGGAAGTGTTTGCAAGATAATTTAGTAAAGTCGTACATCGAAAATTGTGCCATGTTGCCAGGACAACTCTGCGTAAAATGTTTAGAAGATGGGATACCAGCAAAGAAAGCAGTTTTGAGTGTGCGGAATCCCTTCATCGAACGAGGAATGTTTTCCATTTGGTTGAAATATGGAAGGTAAGCTTAATTCTTTCTGGCGGCACAGATGAATCCCTATAAAATTTGCCTGCCAGCATAACATAAACAAGTTAAGTCGTCTGTTAGAAGGCAATTCTAGGTGATTATTTCCAAAAGTCAATTCTTCAGATGAAATATTTTTGCTTTTTACATTTGGAATTTGGCTTGTTAAGCTCTAGTATTCATCAAATGCTGGCAATTTTTTACAACCATGTCTTAACTCTAAAGTAACTTAATCTGTAGTATTTTGTTAAAACTATCAATCATTTTCAAGAAGGATATGCTGCTATATGCTGTGCATGGTGCCTTATGGAATGTATACATGTTCTGATGCTTAAATAACTACTCTTTAGACTGATTGTGAAATGTTTGTTCCATTACTTTTTGGTGGTATATTACGTGACAGTCAGCATGCTAACTGCTCTTCAACACAATCACATACTATAATATGTGTGGATGGAAAGGTACAGTATGGCAACAATAACAGTATTTTGACTTTGACTACATGTAAATGTGTATATGTTAGTAATACTGTTAAGCATTAGCTTCATTTAGGCCAATAATTTCTATGTTAATTATTTGCATATCAATTAATCCAATTTTTGATCTCATATAAAATTTAGGTCGGCAGCATTTAAAAATTGTTGAATTCTGTCAGTGTATTAAGGATGCTGAAAAACTAATTAAACTCCAGCTGTGGCCAGGCTCATCTTCTAAACCCAAGATTGCATTTCACTTTGACTTCATGGATTTTGCTAAAAAATTCTTGCTCGAGAGCCATGTATCCTTGCACAAATTTTGCAGCACTGTTGAAGTTGAATATACTGAAATGCTTCCTAGACTGGTATGTATTTCTCATAAACCTGAATTGTGTACCCATATGATAGTCTACCCATGAAATGGTGGAAATAGATGGGTTGTACTTTGCAAAAAATTTTATTGAATCACTGTTATTTACAAACAACATAAATAATGCGTATTTGCCTCAAATAAGGTAAGAGCACATTCAAATTGCACATGAAGTTTCCTTTGCTGTTATGACTTTGTATTCAACCTTATTTTATTTTTGAAACAAATGCACAAGTTTACTAGGTGTTCATTTTATTCTTGTTAAGGTCAAAAACATATATAATGTGTTAAACAATGGATCATTCGATGAATACAGGTATGTTATATGTTATAAAACAAAAGTCTATTTACAGTTATTGTAGACCTAATAGTTAGATTATATGTGTAGAGTAGTACAGTCTAACCCGTTTTAAGTACACACGATTGGACAACAGACTAGTGTTTTGACTGGCTTAATGAAAGTGTCAGCTTGATTGAGGTTTCATCATTATACTTCCATCATTATTAGCTATATGAGATTAAGTTTTGGATTTTACACAGTATCTGCTTAGTACAGGGTCATTTGATACAAGAGGTTTGACTGTATATATTATATCATTTAAGAATTTGATTTTTTTGTCAGATATTTCAAACACCAAGTCAGATCATTAAAGTTCATACAGAAAGACCTGATTGATTATAGAAATTGCCCTCTTTGCCTACAATTCAGTATTTGATTTCTTTTTTCTACTATTTGCTTTGTGAACTATTTTAAATTATATGTTTTTTGTCACATATATTATCAGAACATTTAAAGTTGTTGTGAAATATGAAGTGTTACATGTTTATCATAAAATTCGTTTCATTTTATTAAAGAGCTTTGTTTGCTTTAGACTGGAGAGTTAGGTGCGGCCATTCATTCCATGGATGCTTGCTTTGGTCTAACTTGCAAAAAGTTGGCAGGGAATAGTTTTGCTGTCCCAAACCATGGCTGCCTTAAGTTTCTTGATCAGGATGAAGTAGATGATTTTGTTGATCAATATAGCAAGTCTAATAACAAAGTAGGAGAGGTAATTATTGCATGATGAAGGACTTTGAAGCCTTTTCAAAAGTATTCTGTGAAGGGGGGGTGGAGTGAATAGTTTGAAAACAAACTTTAAAAGCAATGGCAAAGCCAGCACTTTTTTACTTTTACATTGCAATATTTTTGTATTCAATCACTGGAAAAACAATGAATGGATTTGATTTTCTAAAGAAATTATTAACAATTTTGCTGACAAATTGGCATTGTAAGAGTAAAAGATTGGGCGGGCTTCGCCCCTGAGAAAAGTGGGTCTATGCTTCATGCAGGTCCATGGGCCCTGATACATACGTAAGTAGCTACGTGGATTTAAAATCAAAATTACAAACAGCCAATTTTTTTCTTTTCCTTTAATTTATCATGCTTATGCATGGTCTATGACTTGATTGTGTAAACTGTCATGTTTATTTTTACAGTAATAAAACAATTGTTATATATGCGCTAATCTATAATGTGCTCCACCTTATTTTAGAGTTGTCAGATATTTAAGGCAGGAGAAGTTACAGAAGCACTTCACTCCAAAGGAAAAAATCAACTTTTTGATGAAAAAGGAGTGTTTGGTAGTTGTTGCAGTCGGCATTCACACCTTGGACGATTTTTCAGCACTAAATATGGGGAAAGGTTAGTGTCTTAGCCTTGGTTTGCACGTAATTATCAATATTCTTGATCTTTGATGAGGTAGTATGGAGAACAAATCGTCGGGTTATAATTTCTTTTCCTGTGTCAATTTTGAAATAAAGGGACAAAGGACAAAACGATTCTGTGCTAACGAGATCTATTATTACCCTTTAATAATATTTAGTGTCTTATTATTAATATTCAGAATTTCGTATTCGCTGTTCCTAATCCAAAGCATGCTGACCAAAGTCCTGGTGTTGATTTAAAAATAATGTATGATATTGGATGTGTATTATCATCACATTTAAAGGTATCTTAATGTTGGCATGTATGATGTGGGACACAAGGCTTCATGCCAGGTAATGAATAAAGCTTTGTACCTGGTAATGACAGGGATGGATTAAGAGGCGGGATAGCGGAGGAATGTGCTCTCCTCCAACCGTGATTAGTGGAGATGGATGAGGAGTGGCATTTTCCCTAAGAAATTTATGTATATCAAACCATCAAGCGATCGTAATTGGGGTTTATGGAGCACAATTTCAAAATCTCCAATCATTGTATATAAGTAACAAAATTTAACGAAAAATGTCTTGCATATTACGGCAACAAGCAGCCACTAGAATCTTATCCAAACTAGAGCACCCCTCCTCCAGAAAAGTACATCCCTGGGTAATGATGTAGCGATTGAAGAAAGACAATCTTTTCTGCTCTGGTTTCTTCCTTGATTAAAAGCCCCCGTAGGTAAAATATTATTTTTTAATGTCTTCAAAAAAACAGGTCAAATTCAGTCCTAGAAGGCTCGATGGTTTTGGTCTTACAGATGGTGAGGCTATTGAAAGGCTCTGGGCTTACCTTCGTGGGTTCTCTGCAATTACTAAGGAGATGTCTGCCAGTAGAAGAGTAGATCTTTTGACAGACGCGCTTCTTCACTTATCTCGAAGAAATTTTAGCAATGCAGGTGCTTGAATATTGTCATTGCTTTATGTGTAACTATGCGTTGACACAATGAAAATGTTTTTATTTGTTTGTTGCGCCTTAATTGTTTTAATTTTTTGTATATGATTTGTTTCAGGAAAATCGTTAACGTCGAAGCTTAAAAAATGTCTACAACTTAAAATTAAAACGCAACAAGAAATGAAGGATTTATTTAGCGAACTACCTGGTAAGTAGTTCTGGTAGGTTAGAAATTTCTTATGTTTTCTGTGGCCGAAAAGTATTTAAGATTTCTTTTTGCCTAACCAAACTCTCAATTCAATTTGCATCCAAGGAAATACGAATTTATTTTGTTTGTTAGTGACGTACGATCCTGAAATTGTTTGTCAGTGGGAGGCCAGAGAGAAGGAAATTATGTCAAGAGTCTACCCAGGTATATAATGTCATTCATGGCAAATAGTTTCATTCTTAACAATTCAGTCTGTAGGATTTAAAGACGTACTTTTAAATACAGAACATAAAGAAACCACGGAGAACTGGAAAGTGACGTACGTTCAAAAGCTACTGCATTTTAAACAACTAAGGTAGGTTTTTTAATGTACTAAACTGGCTATTTCTCTATAATACATGCCTATAGACGTTTTAATATTTCTTTTGAGCCTAATTGGTGAATTATTAAATTCTTAGTGCTACATCATTCGGATGTTTTGAAGAAAACCAGAAGATAACATCTGAAGATTACTCAATTTATCAGATGTCGAAAAAACTATACCAGTATGTATAAATGTGTCAAAGCAATATTTTGCTTTAAAGTTTTTTTTACATACGCGCAAAATTTATGTAAACAGGTTTCGAAAGATTTTAAAAGATATTGAACGAAAGCATTCTATAAAAGAAAGATGGAAACCTGGTCATCCTAATTTTGATACTATCGGAGCTTTACATAGACTTTCCATAGAAAGGCATTTCTTAATAACATTGAGAAAGAAGTATGCAGGTACTTTAATGCACTGTATATTTCGAATACTTGTAACCTAAGCTATGTTACCATATCTGTCTTTTTTTGTTTTTGTAAATGTTAATTTTGTATTCCTTTTACTTGTTTAGATGGTCAGAAAATTGCCACTCGCTTGTCCAGGCAAATCACCAAGATCACGAACAAGATGAAATTAACAATTCAGAAACACAATGCTGCCATTGATTCTCTTCGTGATTTTATAAACAGTTTACCCGATCGTCTGACATTTGAAAAAGCGAAAGATCCTACATCAGACCTTTATGAGGGATTTGAGTCTGGTGAGGATGACATTCTAGGAGAAACCTCGGTCCCAGTATACACAAAGAGGAAGACTATTGAAATGTACTTAATCCTAAAACGATGTGACGAGGAAGAGAAACTTTTAAACTTGGAAATAGAAAGGCTTCTATTGTATTACACCAATCTTAGCTCAAAAATTTATGAAGCACTTGCCTATATTGGTGATTGGAGCAGCGATGAATTCATGCTTGGTTCAAAGCATGAAATGATAAGATTTAAAACCAAATTGCGGAATGAGTTGTTCAGCTTGAAGAAAAGTTTTGAGCTTCCACTTGGAGAAACTTTTCTTCTCCATGCTGAGATTGTCAACTTAACCAATGATGTCAACATTCCCAATGAATCTGAAAGCTCACCGTATGAGGAATCCGATACTGAAGATGAAAACATCGGAGAGCTCTCAGAAGTGGACAGTGACATTGAATAGACGACATAGCTACTATTCGTAAACTAATAGCTACTTTTTATGTACTTATTATGTAATTTAGTTGTTCACGTATCTAGTATAACTGATATCACGCAAACATTTGGTTTTGTGACGTCATGTTAGTGCACAGTCATTTTCTCTTCTTCTGTACAACACCGGAAGTTTTGACCTGTCGTTTCATTGTGAGAGAACTATGTTCTTTATTATTTATCAATGTCCTACAAGTAAGAGTTTATATGCGACATATATCCCAACCAATTAGCTCTGTCTGCCCAACCCAATTCATCTAAAATTGTGAGCATTCACATTATATAAAATAGCCGAGACGTATCCAAAGCTTTGTCAGTTGATCAACGGGGTCTGGGGCGAGTTTTTGAAAACACCGAATTTCATGATTTGTCCGTCTAAATCATCCAATTTGTCTTTTAACGTTACAAGCCTTCCCATGTTTCATATTTTGCTCGAGATTAACTCCAAACAGGTGACTAACTTTACCGATGTTCAAGCTAACGAAACGATGCTGACGAGAGAGTGCGGTCTGGTTCGGCACCCTTGATGGCATTGCCGCTGTAAGAGGTAAATGAGAAATGAATCCGAACACGTGTTCGGATTGAAATAATATAAAACTCAAAATTATTAATCTGCGTTACTGAGCACCATTTCACAGAACACGTAAGCCATTTTACAGATCGAACACTCTTGTCATGTTGCACGCCTACCGTAATCATTGCACGTATTACGTATCACGCATTCTTGCCGTGAGCTTCAAATATTCTCTACGCAATACCAACCCTCCTTACAATCACATTCTAAAGTAACATTCTGATGTTAAGAAAAGAACGTGATCGGTTTTTTGGGGGTTGTTTTTATTATAAGATGCTACATACTTTGCTACTAATAAGGTCCATGCTATAAGGGTCGTTGTACTAACTAAAAAACTCAATATTTTATTTGAAACATAATTTGTTAAAAAATTTAAAGCCACAACTGTCAACTATTTCCTGTAACAAAACATTGCTACTGGCTACTGCATACTTTTGTGTAACAATCACATATGCTCGATGATATTGGATTATGCGGTGCTGTTTATTTCACAAAAAGCACCGTAAAGTGAAAATGTCGACGCAGCGGAATTCTCGAAATGTTAAAAGTGGAATTCATTTATGATATATATGTTGCTTTATTTTGAGTGTTCGTTGGTACCGTAAATGAATTTATCAACGGCCAGGGCGTTTAATCAATTCTAGATGTTGTGGTGCAGCGAAATGAAAAGAGAGACGTGTATATTAGTTGTTTGTGTGAACAAATAAAACAAAACTAAGACAAACTAAACTTCTTATAAGCCAAATTGTGAACCCACTTTAATTAATATATTATAAAGGTAATGTTGTGAAGGTGGTGGGTGTCTATCGAGGACGGAATTTATTAGTAAGTAGCGTTGCAAGGAGGGGGGGCGTTTAATATGTATAAGGTGTTAATTTAATATAGGGCATTTATTAGATCGTTTACGTCACATATGCCCATATATCATCTGAGAAATACAATTTGCCTTTGCAAACTAATGAGACATTTGGGGAAACTTGAGAGCAGATCAGTGCAAGCAGGAGACCGAAGGTCTTGGGTTGCACGATTGCATCTGCTCGAGTTCCACAAACGGCTTCAAGGTTTGCATATGCCAGTGCAATGGTGCAAACACGAACAACAGTTTTTGCCTCTTGTATACAATGATACAAAGATGAGTTGAAGTCGGTTTGCACAGGTTAATGCACACACGGCTATAGACCAATCACCGATCTGTAAATCTCGTTAATCTCGAATTAATCTCGAGCAAAATATGAAACATGGGAAGGCTTGTAACGTTAAAAGACAAATTGGATGATTTAGACGGACAAATCATGAAATTCGGTGTTTTCAAAAACTCGCCCCAGACCCCGTTCATCAACTGACAAAGCTTTGGATACGTCTCGGCTATTTTATATAATGTGAATGGTCACAATTTTAGATGAATTGGGTTGGGCAGACAGAGCTAATTGGTTGGGATATATGTCGCATATAAACTCTTACTTGTAAGACATTGATAAATAATAAAGAACATAGTTCTCTCACAATGAAACGACAGGTCAAAACTTCCGGTGTTGTACAGAAGAAGAGAAAATGACTGTGCACTAACTAACTTCTTTATGTTCTGTATTTAAAAAGTACGTCTTTAAATCCTACAGACTGAATTGTTAAGAATGAAACTATTTGCCATGAATGACATTATGTACCTGGGTAGACTCTTGACATAATTTCCTTCTCTCTGGCCTCCCACTGACAAACAATTTCAGGATCGTACTTCACTAACAAACAAGTCAAGTTAAAGATTTTCATATTAAAAACGAAACAAAATCTTTCTCGTGTATCAACCACTTATGTAGGGTTATAACTTTGAAATAGTTTCAAAATGAAACGTTTTGGTCAATATCATGAATTAAAAAAGATATTATCGCGCTAAACGTACAGATCTTGTCTCTCTTTAACACTCCGAATATATCAACTTCACCAAGTACAAATGAAATGCTATGATAAGGAATGCAATAAAGGCCCAAAATGTTGCAGGTAGATATGTCTGAGATTGTTTGCTTTGAAAACGAGTATCTAAAACAAAAAGATAAATAACGACGAACTAGGCACCTTTGAAAATGATGTTATGTATAACAAAAAGAAACCTTTCCAAGCTTGTTGAATGAAGTCCATATTCTTGAGGGTAAACAGATGACTTTCATTCTTTGATATGTTGTGCATGATATAAAATCCCCCATTTTTTTGGCGTTATCAGATATCTAAAGCCTCATTTCCACCTTTCGCACGAATCAACTCGCAGCTCGCTGCGAGAACTCGCAATTGTTCGTGTCTGTTTCGAGTACTCGTTGTTTGATAACTGTTTTTCAGCGAGCTAAGAAAAAAAATGGCGGACGCTTAAGGAGTGAAGAATGAGTCCTTTGACTAGATCAGGGGTCTCCAAACTACGGCCCGCGGGCCAGATGCGGCCCGTTGGGCCTTTCAATCCGGCCCGCAGAGACACTTAAGAGAAAAAATAATATTATTCAACAAAATAAACTTTGTGCAGAAAGTTCACGTTATGATGCAAGCCAACAAGCAAGAGTGGCTTACGTCAATTTTTGTCCCAACTCCTACTTCCGTTTCAAGCACATTGCGAAATTTAAAAAGCTGAAGGATAACGTGAATATCTCAATGCTTCATAATGGCCAATTACAGAAAAAGAAAAGTTGATGATGAATGTCGGCGATTTCAAGAAGAGTGGAGTGTAAAATACTTCATAATCGAATCTGCGAATAAAGCATTGTGTGTCATCTGTCATGAGAGTGTTGCAGTATTAAAGGAGTACAATTTGCGCCGCCATTACCAAAGCAAACACCAGGGAACCTTCTCGCGGTTTGAAGGAAATATACGTGAAGAGAAATTTGAAAAGTTAAAGCAGTCCATTAACTCTCAAAGATCAATTTTCACAAAAGCATCAAAACAAAATGAGTTGATAACGAGGGCTAGCTTTAAAGTGGCTTAAATTTTCGCTAAAAATGGCAAGCCTTTTACAGATGGTGAGATAGTAAAAAACTGTTTGCTAGAGATTGTGGATGAACTTTGTCCGGAAAAATCTAATGTTATTAAAACTATAACATTGGGTGCCAATACTGTTGCCCGGCGAATTAGATACATGAGCGCAAACCTAATGGAGCAAATTGCCAGCCATGCTAAGAATTTCGTGCATTTTCTGTGGCAATGGATGAGTCAACAGACATGTGTGGCACCTCCCAGCTGCTAATTTTCATTCGAGGTGTGGATGCCAATTTAAATATCACTCAGATTTGGCTTCACTGAACAGTATGTACAACACAACGACTGGAGAAGACTTGATGAGATAAATACAGAAAACATTTGAACAATATAGTTTAGATTGGAATGGACTGAAATGCTTAACTATTGATGGGGGAAGAAATATGTGTGGTGTGAAGGATTGGTGGGAAAAATCAAACAATTTTGTGCTGTAAAAGATATTTCAGAACCAATGTTTCTACATTGCATATTACACCAACAAGCTCTTTGTGCTAAGTATGTGGATATTAGCTGTGTGTTGGACCCTGTAACAAAAATGGTGAATTTGATAAGATCACATGTGCTGAATCACAGACAGTTCAGGGAAATGTTAAGAGGGACTGAGACAGAATCTGTTGACATGCCATATTACACTGCAGTAAGATGGCTAAGTTGTGGAAAAGTGCTGTCAAGGGTTTTTGACCTAAGAAAGGAAATTGCTGAATTTCTTGCAGGAAAAGGGAAGCGTCAAGCATTACTGTCTGATAAACTGTGGATATGTAAGTTGGCTTTTGCTGCAGATATCACTGGCCATATCAATAGTTTAAATCTGAAGCTATAGGGAGAAGAAAACCTCATTAGTGATTTTTTTACACATCTAAAGGCGTTCAGGCACAAACAAGACCTATTCCTGAAACAAATCCAGGTTATGAATTTCACACATTTTAAAAACTGTACAGAAGCTATGGTAGAAGCTAAAACAGATTTTCCACTTTCATTTGCTTGTGGGATAATTAAAGAGCTTCAACATCAATTCCAGGAGAGATTTGCTGATTTGCATGCAAAAGCAGATGAGTTGAGACTCTTTCAAAATCCATTTGAAGTGGATCCAGCTGCATTTCCAGACAGTTTACAATTAGAGGTGATTGAACTACAAGCAAACGACTTGCTGAGGGATAAATTTAAAGAAGGGCTTGCTCAATTTTACCAATTTTTACCTAAAGAGAACTATCAAAATTTAAGGCATTTTGCTGCAGGACTGCTATCTATGTTTGGCACTACATACCTGTGTGAAAAACTTTTCTAGAATGAAGTATGTGAAAACAGTTATAGAACAAACATGTCTGATGAAAATCTGAGGGCTCTTCTAATGCTTGGGACCTCAAACCTAAAGCCAAACTTTTTCACAATTTTGTCATCAAAAAGCCAATTTCACCACTCACATTGAGAAAACTGAACAGACTAATTGTGATTTTGTCATGATATTACTCTTGGTTGAAATTCAACCTTTAAATTTTGAATAAATATTTTCTTAAATAATGAAGCTTGTGTTATGTACTTCGTTTTATTAAAATATTCGCTCTTTGACCAGCGGTATACGATTCATCGGCCCTCAACATGCTGGATGAAAGTTCATGTGGCCCTTTGGCTGCAAAGTTTGGAGACCCCTGGACTAGATAGCAAATAATTCTTTTACTCTATTTGCGAAGTCGAAGAAGACAGCGTGAAAAATACCGCAAACGTTTTGGATCAGGCCGATATTCCAAAGAGATCTCAACATAGCGAATTTTTCACTTTAGTGAAAGAATTACGAGATGGAGACCACGAAGGTCATTTCCACTATTTAGGCGGCGCTTGAGATAGCCGCTCCAGTTATTAAATTATTTTTTTGTGTTATAAAGTATAAATTTTCATCCATACCGTTGACTTATTGAACCATTCTAATATTACAATTTACAGATGGAGGAAGTTTCTCCTAATTCCATTGAAATAGGAAACAGTAAATTGTGAATGAGATACCATGCATCTGAAATTTCAAACCCTTCCCACAACATACGTAAAATTCTATACACGCCTGTATGTTGTATCGGCCAATAGCATTGTCAAAATGATTTAAATCTCTTTTAACATTTTTCTATTTAGTGGCCACACATTTTTGCCATTATAAAACATCAATTTTAGGTCATAAATTTGGTTATAGATAAAAAGAGATTGGTAGATGGAAACATAAACTGAAAGAAGTTTCGGCATTTTTTATGCAGAGGTGGAACATCATTATATGCTATTGCCTTACTATAGTATAAAGACGACAAAGTTGACCAAGCACAACATTTTCTGAAACTTCTTTGAATGTAAATGAGAAGAGCCAACTGGAATGTGGTACTCTTTTCATTGCTATTCAAAGTATGGTATTCGCTATTCAAAGCATGGTATACAGAATTGAGAAGACCATGAGCAGTCTTTTGTCAAAGCCTATTCATTTTCAAAAGAAATCAGAAGGGCATTACTAAATATGATGTGGTCTAAAATCTTTAATTTTATACTTTCATGAAAGACAGCCTCAACACATCGATGAAATTATAATCATGATATATCACTTACAAAAAAGCATTGAGGATTTAATTTTCGTTCATAATGATCAATCTATATGTATATATATATACATGCTATTCCCACTGATATTATAATATGACTTAACATGCGTTTTTTAAACTTAATGTTTTGCAGTATTGTTTATGAGCACATTGAAATAAATTGACAAACATTGTATTTTTGGTTTGGGGCAGTGCATTACTTGCTTTTGTTTCCACAGTTGTAAATGATGTTATTGTTCTTATCATTTTTTTGCTTTTTCTGGCTCTTGGCTAATTTTCCAGTATTCATGAACATGAATTTGTTCAAGAAAATTGAACACATTTGAACAACTATCCCACCGTTACACCGATTTAATACATCAAGTCGATGCCTAGTCATATATAGGCCGTTGTTTGTGCTGTTGTTTGAAGAACATGATCAACAAATCCATCACAACAAATCCATCGCTCACATAACGATTTACTGGAAAATAATGTCGATTAAAAATCACGTGCTTATTCATGAATACAAAATTTTCAAAAAACATACATATCTCATATCATAGCACATAGGAAGAAACTTTCTATGAATTCTTTCATACGTAAAACTTACGTCGTTTGCAAGGTTGTTGTCCTTGCGTGATAGAGAACTGGAACGGTTTGGGTGAGCTGGAGTCTTTAACAGTTGACATGAGTACACTCTGTCGAGGGGGGTATAATGTTGTTATGGATGATGGGACGTCTGTCGTTGAACTGGGTTCGTTGTCCTGGTGTTTGTTTGGCTTTGAATTAGATCCCAGGTCCTTTTCATTGCTATCCCTTCCAGGTGAAGCACATATACGTAGCTCAACCACAGCTATACCTTCAACCCTAGAACTGACAGAGGAGAAAGTATGAGCCTTTGACATACATGTATATCACATATAATACATGTATGTACTATCTCATTCCTTATAATCCATCAAATGGATACTATAAAATAAAAGTAATTAAATAACGTACCCACATTCCAGTCGAAAGGATAAATGTGTTGGTCGTCTATTCATTCCTCCAACACAAGAGTTAAAGCATGTAAATCTAAACAATTCCTTGCGATATCCGCTATCTGCAAAATAATTTACAGCAAAATTACTAAATACCTGTGTATGTAAAGAAATTAAAGTGCTAAAATAAAATACAAGAGCAGTACACATACCATCTGGTTTCACAGCATTCAGCGGTATGAATATAGACAACCTTCTTGTCTTTGGGCAACTTTCGTATCTTGTTTGTGGATTATCACATCTCATTACATTCTCAGGATACTCTTTTAAAACAAATAAAGTCAATTCATATTAAAAGTCGTTTCATTCTCAAGTTTTAAAAGTTAGATGAGTCTTACTTTCTGAGAACGTATTTTATGATTCGGACAACGGACAACAATTTCTCGATAATGCTTTGGTTTTTTGTACATAAGAATACCACGAATTCCGCTACCAGACGGTGGATTGACTAGATAAAATATTCAACATTAGATTCGTCACAAAATTGAGAACAAAATACAATTATGACTATTTACCTTCATTACTACTACGTTGTTGTCTCTGGACTCGATTTGACACCATTTTGTCAGATGGATTTGTTTGTCCCCACGGTAAATACCATGGGGACAAAGAATACAAAATATTACAGGGATCAAAGTGCCATGCTTCTTCTTGGGTCTAGTGACTTTGGCACAATCTCCCTGCTGTGTTTGAACCAGTTCTGGCAGACAAGGTAGATATCCATTGGACGAATTTTGAGACACCACAGGTAAGTTGTGTGGCAAACGCCACTGACCGTCCTTGACCTCGAACGGACTTATAGCCTTTGTACCAATTCCTTTAGCAGCGGTTGAATAGTAATAGGAATTTCTTCGCTAGCCTCAATGACGTTAAACAGTAGGGGCACTTCTTCATGAAGAAGTTTTAAATCAGTCGAAAGATTGTCTTTTGGATTGGCTCCATCAGACATCCTTATCAAGAGGTTCAAAACTTCTTCTTTGGGGGGCACAATTGCGCATACTGGTTTGTCAGAAGCCAATGCTGCCAATAACCTTCTGCACGAGTTTGGACAACTAGTGATAAATCCTTGTTTCTCTAACCATTTAAGTAGAGTCCTAAGCCCCTTTGAAGATATCTATAAATACGAGAAATTGTAGTATAAAATGAGCTCTGGAGTGGTCATACAAAATTTTGTACTCGTGGGGTAATAAATTCTTCTTACTTCAGATTTTAATTCTTGAAATTCGTCCCAACTTAGCTTTGAATCACTGTACTTCTTCAATAAAGCTCGCACATTTCTCCTGTTGATGAAATTGCGCATTTCAAACATAGTATTGGACAAAAGAAAACAGGTTATTATTTTTATAACTATAAGCTGTGTACAAAAAAAGTGAGAGAAGTCACCATCATGCATAAAATGCTTTCTGATATGTGGATGAACACTCGTATTTACTAATTAGCAGACCTGTATATACTATATATTACAGATAAACTTCAAAAATACTTATCTTCCATGTAGCAATCCAGTATCAGACTCTCTTAAATTATTTGGTAAGAAAGTTTTCTGTATTCCAAGAGTTGTTCCATCCATCACCACCTTTTGGGGGAATTCTTCCACATAATTCACAAAAAAACCCATTGTCAAAATCAATATCAAGCAACCTTAATAAGAGAAAATTCAATAACTTAATAAAACAAGCGATCACTATCTCAATGGAATATTCATATTTTACAGCTGAAAATGAAATGATGCTTACCGTATCATGGCAATGATAGCGAGACGCAACTTGGCGTAAGTTATTTCCTTTGGGAAATTAAAATTACCCGAAGACACTTGCCTTTGTACATACGCAACATAATATTTGTACATAGGTAAACTGAACAAGAATAACAAAGAAAAAACATTCAAAAGAGATAGGGCGAGAAAATTAAATAATGGACAAACGTAGCTACTAATGCTTCGGCAAATTTTCATTAAAAAGTACTTCGACGTTATGAAAAGCCGAATGTAATCTTTTGATTTGAACGGCATGAGATATTGCATATGATCCAAAACATACAATCCTGTTTTCAATGCCATCATAATGCTTTTTCGTAGCACAAGAGGAGCAAGGTCTACAATACACTAAATAATTTATTTAAGACAAATAATTATGAATCAAAGCGTAACCTATAACAAATCAGAACTTACCCTTCACATCATGGATTGAATAAAAGTACGCAACTGAACACAAGAACTTGAATAGAACGTTTATCCCACTCTGCACCACAAGAACAAATACCACTTTCAGATGGCGCCAAAATTTTATGACCATTTTTTTCAGGAAGATCAGTAAAATCGCTTGCATCATTCTCATTGCCTAAAATAATTAAATTGTAATATTTATAAAATGCTAGAAAGTGCTAAATACCATACAGATAAAGGAAATAGTATATGTAAAGCTAAAAGGATGTTCACCATTGCATATTATCTTGCATACCTGTTTCTAATAAAGAAACCTTTTATTTGCTAAGTGTAGCCAATTCAAAATAGTCTCGCATCTCTGGTGTAATTCCAAAGGAAAACTTAAAAAGTACCAATGGAGAATCCATTTCATCCTCTTCAACGATTTGCATGGCTTTTGCAAGGGTTGTCACATGAATGCAATGATATGACGAACAGCTGCAACATTTTAGCTCGGGCTGGGGCGGCGTTACTTTTGAATACACAAAAGTACAAACCCCCCATGGACTTTCCACTGAACCTCCCTGCACACTGCACTAAACAAGTCCTAAAATATGTAAAATCATTTATCTTAAGGTTGTATTATGTGTGTGTATGTATGTGTGTGTATGTGTATGCAGATTAATAATTATGATTAATTATGACTTCACACAATCCTTAGAAAGTGCTTAATATATATATCAGGCACGTAAAGCAAATGGTGAATATGACTTTACTATTTTTATCATACATTTAGTTTATACTACTTAATGTATGTACTGCAGGTATGTGGCTATGTATGTATTTGAGTATGAATGTGTATACCTCAATAGTCATAAATAAATTCAATTTGTCCTGTTGGTTATCACCCTAATAGCTTATTGGAAGCTCCTGAACTTAGGCACAGGATGTATGGTAACAAATTGTGGGGTATTAGAAGGTTGAGAAACTATACGTGTACTTGTACAAAAAAGTTATTTTCACATACCAAAATATACTTCTTCAGGTTGCATCTCATGGTAGGAATGATCACTGAAAAGAGACTGCATCATGGATGTGGATTCTGCATTCATAAAAGAAATTGGATGAGATAAATATGTTGTGTAAATAATCATTCACAAGTTTTAACAATATTTTTGTTTGTAAAGCTGCGCTGGTTAACATCCACATGTAATAAGAACAATGTCGAACAAGGGTCTTGTAAAAACACAGAAGGATGACTTCACAAAGGTTTGAAATGTACAATAAACTGATATTTAAGGATGAAGACATTTCCTCCCATACAACATGAAGAACTTTACATTGAAAAAATAAGCCAAATACAAATTTGAGACATTCACTTCATGCAATGTCAGATTAATATGTAACAAGTTCTCACATCTTTGACAAGGGTCTTCAAACAAATAGTATGTAAGTGTAAGTCAAAATTTGGTGAAGCTATTCAGACACCTTATATCCTGAAAGAGTAACACACAACACTTACTTTTTTTCAATAAAATCTTTGGCTTCAATACCAAACTTTCTATCATACACAACCAGATATTTTTCCATTGCTAATATGTGTATGCAACTGGGATATGGTATATCTGACAAGTACAAAAATGTTGTTTGGCCTGTTTTAATAATTTCATTTCAGTAACATCTATTTTACATACCTTTTTGAGGATCTAATTGTATATTATTAGGTAGGGCTTCAACAAATTGCTTTCTATTTGCATCACATGAGCAGCACAATATCCAACTGTAGCCATCAAGCAATAGGTGCTGAAGAAAAAAATACATGCAGATTATAGCACCAAAAAAAGAGTATTGAGTAATATCATTTAGTTGGGTATATACCCAACATTGAAATTATGGAAATAAAATTTGAGATCACCATAATTGTTCTTTTGTTTGCATTATAATCATGAACAACAAATTGTAGGACTGCTTTTCTAGTGAAAGCTATATGTAGGACTGCTTTTCTAGTGAAAGCAGTACCTACATATAACCAATGACTTTTGAGAAACAATATCAATATGTACATTAAAACCTGTGTTTTGGTGGTTAACTCTTGGTGCTTGTCATAATTTTCAGCAATATCTTCACTTTGTTCATTCTACATATAAATGAAAAAACCATAAACATAAGTATTTTATATCCACATAGTTTTACAACACAATACAATACTTTATTTCAGAACAACATGTAAATACATCATTATTAAGAAAAGGAAACCCAGAGGTTAGCCCTATATCAAGGGTCTCCTATATATGTAAAAATCTTACGGAACTAGTTAATAAAAATAAAAAATAATAAATAAAAAAAATAAATAGTAAATAATAAATAAATAAAAAAATGTCAAATAAGAAACAGCTAAATATCAATTATTGTAAAATAAATTATTGCTAAATATCAATTATTGCTAAATATCAATTATTGCTAAATCAATTACTGCTTAATCAATTATTGCTAAATATCAATTATTGCTAAATATCAATTATTGTTTTACAATATATGTAAACTTACCAAATCCCCAAATTCATTTTCTTGTTCAAAAAATTGAGATTCATATGACACACTGCTATTCTATTAACATACATTGTGATTAAAGGATGTAGAGAATCCAGACTTGAAATTGGAAAATGTGCTCAGAATAATCGTTTTTCCTTACACAACATTGTGGGCATAAATAAATTTGTACACATACTTTTGTTAATATAGCTGTGGTAATAAATATAAATTAATATGAAATTGTGCAACCAGAAACAAAAAAAAAGAACACTTTAAAAAGTCCTACCGCATCATCTTTTTGTGTGTTTCCTTTCCTCTCCATGTTATTGTAAAAGAAGACATTTGAGCGTCTGAATTTCTTCCTGAATTGATACATTTTGCAAGTGTACCCAAAAAATAATACCCCGGTTTATAAAAACCAGTACTGCACGTGTTCTTGGATTGACAAAGTTAGCCTAGAATTAGTCTAAGTACAATTCTCCCAGCCAGACTTCTCCGATAGATATTTAAAAAAGTACTAAGCATAGTATTGAGTGACTGAGCCCTGTTGATCGATTGCCTTGCTTTGAACTTTTGATGTTGCAAACTCTTAAAAAATATGAATACACGAAGAAATATTGTTCTCATACATGAACTTCGAAACATGTAGTAAATGGAAGCCCTGAAATTTCTTTTTTAAGCTGCACCAGTCGAATCCACGAATCCAGCGCTCTCGCTTGTCGCTATGGTATTTCTCCCCAAGAAAATGTAAAAAAAATACTTTACTTCTACTTGCATCTCGTTTTAAACGATCAGGATACCGCGAATCGCTTTTGCAGGTTCCCCAAACGCACCTCTTCGTCGTAACCATTGTTATAAAATAGACCTTTTCAAGGTTATCGTAGCCATATTGCAGGGGGTGCAAAAACATTGGGCCGAGCGCGCGGTCACGCATGGAGTCCATATAAATTACTAATAAATGCACAAAAATTACCCTTTTACATATTAGCCATTTCTTCCAAAAATATTTTTCAAACTCGTCCATTTTAATAGTAGAATTATTATTTGCCATTTTTTGTACATGTGAGTCAAATTTTGTGGTAATCAAAAAGCGGAAAGTTAAAGAAAACATTTGTTTTCTTTGAACAACTTGACCGTCGTTTGAGCGATGTTCTTGAGTTCGCAACACACGCACATGTCTACAGCAAAGTCAGCAAAGTCACCAATCATTTGCAAAGTGACATTGCTATTTTTATTATTATGTATGGCGACTAAACAGCCAGAAGAAGAACTGAAATACGAAGATTTTCTTCACTTGACTGTTTCTTCGCTAAAAGATTTTTTGGCGTTGAGAGGGTTGAAACAAACTGGGAAAAAAGCAGAGTTAATCGCTAGGGCATTTGGTGCTTATGAACTTAAAGTTCCGAAGAAATTTACGCAGGAGCAAATTTATAAAAACATACGTGAGGAGTATTCAAGAAGGCTGAAATTAAACAGCATTAAAACTGATCCCAACTTACTCCCCGAGCAAGCGTGGCTTGATGACGTGAGAAAGTGGCCAGAAATCGATGACGGAAAGTTGTTCAGTTATATATTGAGAATCAAAGCGGTAGATGTTGATTATATTGGAAAATATAAAGACCAAAAGGCTTACTCGTATTGGATGAGGGGATTTGTTGACATCGTTTACGTTGCAAAATGTCCTTCGGATGGCAAATTTACTTTCTTGAAAGGTAACATCTGTCCTTCCCAAAAACTAAATGATGATCCACACAAAGTTTGGGTTTGCGTCGAGGGAACTGGCAGTGACTGCAGGATTGTAACGTCTTGGTGTTCGTGTACAGCGGGAACAGCAGAGGCATGTAACCATGTAATTGCCCTCCTTTACAAGGTAAATTATGCCTTTAACAAACATTTCATTTCACCTGCCTGCACTAGTGTACCGCAAGGCTGGAATAAAGGAACCAGAAGAGAAGTTGCACCAACCCAACTGCAAAATATGACTTTTTGAAAGGATAGAAAAACTAAAAAAGTAAGTAATCGAGACAGCAACTTGGAACAGAAAATGCAAAAAGAATTTGATCCAAGAAAGCATGAAGACAGACAGTTGACCGATGAAAGAGTTTCTTCCTTACTGAAGAGTGTAAAGGACTTGGTACCATCAGCATGTGTGTTGTTCTCTGTTGAATATGGTATTGATGACAATCTTCCACCTAACATTATTGAAAAGGCTGCTGAGTTTATGTCAAATATTTTAAAGACATACCAGTGGAACAAGCCACTACACATTTCCTTATTGAATCACAAATCACCAAAGATCAAGTGAAAAAAATTGAACAGGAAACAAGGCAGCAACATTCCAACCCATTGTGGAGAAAGCAAAGAATTGGAAGAATAACAGCTTCCAATTTTCACATGGTTCACACAAAAACAGAGACTATTATGAAAAGCAAAAATGCTAGCAAAAAGAAGCCTCAATATAGCCCAACTGTATTTAAATTAGTAAATGAGTCTGGAAACATTTCCCATTTACCTCAAATTAAGTGGGGAGTGGAACACGAGAAAGATGGCATCAAGTCCTTTTTGTCTGATGTGGCTAGTCAGCACGATGGTGGCATTGAAGGGTTTCGTCAGTGTGGACTCTATGTAAAAAGTGACTATCCATATCTTGCTGCTTCTCCGGATGGTTTGTTCTCATGCAAGTGCTGTGCTCCTGCTACTGTTGAAGTGAAATGCCCATATTCAGTTAGATATGGTAATATAATGAAGAAAGAGGTTTTTCAGCATGTGGACTTCCTTGAAGAGTTTAATGGTAATCCTCGTCTGAAACGTTCTCATTGTTATTACACACAAGTACAAGCGCAAATGTGGGTTTGTGGTGTACATCATTCTTTCTTTGTAGTTTGGACACTTGGACATCAACCCCTTTATGAAGAAATTGAGCTGGACATGGCATTTATGACAAATGTGGTAAATAATCTTACTATATTTTATAAGACTTATGTTATGCCTTGTATTTTGGGTTATCGAGATCTTTTGCAATGTTCAAAGTGTGAGAAGGTTATTTTGGATGAAGCAGAAATCAATTGCCCTGCAACTGAAAGGAGTGTAACTTGTGTCACATGCAACACTCAGTGGCATTTGCCATGTGCAGGCCTGACTGAACGATGTCTCAGCTCAATAGACTCATGGCTTTGCCACAGTTGTCTCCTTGACAATGCTGGTTGTTATGATGATAACAGTTTTGAGGAAGAAGAAATTAGCATAAATGACACAGGCCTCATCACATCCCAGGATTGCTCACCTTTAATATCAGATGAAATAAACAATATATGCCCAGTATGCATGTTGAAAGACATTCATGTTGGAGGAGAGCATATTTGTTCTATATGCAAAAATGCTGTACATGCATGGTGCAGCAATCATGAAGAAATTACAAGCTCTGCTAATTTAGTTTGTAATTATTGTAAGTCAGATTAATTTTCACCTTGATCCTCTATGTGAAAGATTTCTCCAGGGTTTAGCTATCGTGAAAGATGCATTTTATTAGAGAACTAAAAAATCAACACAAATGATCAAAAGTTAAAATTGTTTTTTCTTTCTAGCTATCACCTTAAAACTTAAAAATTTTTTACATTTATGATAATACAAGTATAATTAAGAATACTTGTATTCATGTTTTTTTCCAGCTGACAATTTCAAAAATAAAAGATAAAACACACTCTGAAAAACATCATCTTGTAAACTCAATATTTGAGTTATAACAGCAAGAGACAAGATTTAAAGCTATATTTAGACTTTATTTTATTTAGACATTAGTATTTCGAAACTATGACTCTGACATAAATTTGAAATATAGCTTTAAATCTTGTCTCTTGCTGTTATAACTCAAATCTTGAGTTTACAAGATGATGTTTTTTGTAGTGTATTTTCTCATTTATATTCATGTAAACAGTGTATTTCATGCATTTTATTGTAAATAATTATGTACATAAAGGGGGAAGGAAATTGCACAAAGCACAGCACACTTTTACAATATCATCACTTAGGGAAAGTAAATTTATAGGAAGTTCATGTTTCAAAATATTAAAATTTTTCATTCTTCCAATTGCTTGTTCTACATATATACGCACATTAGCTATGCTTGAAGTTTTTCTTACATCATCTGGAAGCATCTGCATAGATACAGTTTTGCTAGGTGGTATGCACAGTCTACACATTTTCATCATCAGTTCTTCTCTAATCTTAAACCCTCTGTCAGCCATCACTTCATCAAAAGGTTGTAAAAGTTCCAAAAATCCACTATTCTTAACAATAAAGACATCTGTGGCCCTTCCACCATAAGTAGGTGAAACATACGAAATTGCTCCATTTGGAGTTATAGCTACCAAAGCTTTCAATGTGTAGTGGTGCTTGTATTCACTCCACATTGTAGCTGCTAGGTCTAGACCACTTGGGGTTTCAGTAAAGCACTCAAAACAGTCAATGATGCATCGTACGTTTGGATAGAGCTTTCGGAAACAACTTGGCAGAGTTTTCTTAGTTTGATTTCTACTAGGCCATATAATGAGAACTGAGAGTTCCTTGGACATCAGTTTAATCCAAGTTATAAACGTGCTACTAACAGTAGCAGATGATATTTGAAACCTGAAAGCCAGATCATCAACAAGTAATGCCAAACGCAACTTCATCAAACACATAAGGAGCTCCTGCTGTGGTGATAGTTTGCGAGCTGGACCAGATCTATAACCTCTACCAGCAAACAGTTGAAATGGTGTTTTTGGAGTCGCGGTTGTTTCATTTTGTGTCTGTGTGGGTCCACGCCAGTATTGCATATTACTAGCTTTTGGCAGCAAGTATTCAAATACACACTTAAAACTGTTAGTCGATGGCAGGCCGGTGTGAAACCTTACATCATACTCTCTCGTCAACTGTTCAAATTGCAAAGGGACAGGGAGTAAAGATGCCTCAGATTTTGCTGGATTTTCATCAAAACTTGAATGAGAATCCTCGGTGTCATAGGCTTGATGAGGACGCTTTGATGTCGTCCATGTTTCTCTTCCTTTACGTTTAAGCGGAGTCCTCGATTGCTCGTACTCTGATAGCGTAATAAAAACCGAAGGATAATCCGTTTCGCGGTTATTTGGGGTTCTTTTCCCAAGGGAAAATGATTTGAGCAAACGAAAGTACCTTGTGCACCAGGCTTTGGGTTAAAGTCATCGGCTCTGCTGTTTGCAATTTGTTTTCGCCAAATTTCAGCAAGTACTTGATCTTTGGGCCACTTATGAAAAACTAACTTTCTACGTGAGACCTCTTAACTTGATAATCAGGATAGCGTTTATCATTATCGCAATATCCAACTGCACAACGCGCATTTTTTACCATTTCGGCTATGACTGCTCACGGCTACTCGGCTAGTTAAGGGTTTAGTTCGTTTGACTTGGCTTATGAGTTCCGCACATTTGCGAACTCAAGAACATCGCTCAAACGACGGTCAAGTTGTTCAAAGAAAACAAATGTTTTCTTTAACTTTCCGCTTTTTGATTACCACAAAATTTGACTAACATGTATAAAAAATGGCAAATAATAATTCTACTATTAAAATGGACGAGTTTGAAAAATATTTTTGGAAGAAATGGCCAATATGTAAAAGGGTAATTTTTGCGCATTTATTAGTAATTTATATGGACTCCATGCGTGACCGCGCGCTCGGCCCAATGTTTTTGCACCCCCTGCAATATGGCTACGATAACCTTGAAAAGGTCTATTACTCCGCCATGTTTGTCCGAGTTTTTCTCTTTAGCAAACACGTGTTTCCACATATATGAAAACCGCCAAAGTTGTGTATTGGATTATGACATCTTTCGCGCGCTTTTTTAACAAGTATGCAAATCTGTTATGATCTCGATCACTGTCGTTGGACCAACATCAAAATACATCCAAAAAATCAACGTATTTCACTCATTTTGTGCAGTGCATCCCTATATTCTGACTGTAAATATAATATTTTGTGTTTTACGAACGCAAAAAGCAGAAAAACCAGACCAATATAAACGGAAATGTTGGTATTAAGCCCAGACAACTGTCATATTATAAAACTTTGACGTATAGACAGCAACTGTTCGGGGTTTATACCTTCGACCTTCGTGTTCGTGTTTTAACTACGATAATTGCTTTAGTCGTTGTAACTTTTCATGTAGTGACTGCTTTCGTTTCTCGAGCATCGTCTTGTCTTCAAGTAATCGTTCCTGTTCGGAAGTTAGCTTTGATATACAGTCCGTTGCTTTTCTTAGTATTGCCACTTTGGGGGTTCGTTCTAAACCTTTAAGTTCAGGCATGCTGTCGCGTAGAAGTTGAAAACTGTACTTCAAATCGTTTGTTCGCTTGCGTTCGAGGGCGTTGTGAACATTTCGCTTGCATTCCGGGTCATCTGTGCTCTTGTCCTTTACATTAAGCCGAATAGATAAGTCAGGTCTTTTCTGTGCGCTTTCCACTTTGTTTTCTTTGTTCGCTTGTTGTTGTCGTTTAAGATTCATTCTCGGACGTTTGGCGATCGGTTGAATGTTGTTCCGAAGAGCTTTAACTGTGTTTTTGTTTTCATTGATATTGCTACAAGGTTCGGGGCATTTTTGTTTGACTATATTCGGGGCAGAATTATTCGACGGTCTTGTCGAAAATTTAATACCTGAAGACGATTCACCATTCGGGAAATCCTGAGTGTGTATGAGATGGGGGAAAACGGACGCAGGGTCCACACATTCTGCCCCAACAGTGTCGATCGGATAGAAAGGTGGAGGAGGTGAGCAGGGGTGTCGTACGCGTTGTCTACTTGTTTGCTGCTGTTTTTTTCTTGCGATGAGTGACTTCCCCACATGCAATCTTGAATGAGTTTTGATGTTAAGTTGGCACAATTGTGCTCCAGCTCGACAAATGTTCGGCAGTTATCCCCATCTATGATATCGGAGACACATTGTAATGTGTCAATGGAGCTCGAACTTAGGCACACAGGAGATGATGGACAACTACTATCCCGACATGGAGAAAGTGGCGGAGTCAATACTTCAAATTTCAGCCAGATATGGCGAGTAGGACACGATACGCCATTATCATTTACTTCGCAAACTTCATTATCGTATTCTGTAACATGTTGTGAGGAATAATGAAAAACCTCTTCGGGGGGAGAATCCCATTTGCATTGCCATGACTGTAACAAAGTTAAAAGACATATGAGTAACTAAAATTCGTGCCAAATCCATTGCGCGCGAATCATCATACAATATATTTATAATTCACAAGTGGCTTATAATTCACAATATATTTATAATTCACAAAACTTTATTTACAAATTTTACATACCGATGTTTTTTGATGCATGTGCATGTAAGCTGAATTAATAATCCAACGATTTAGTTGTGCTATCTTAAGCCCGCCGCACACTGGTGAACTTGCCGCGCGTACCTGTTATTCGTGACAAGTGTGATCGACAAAAGTTCCTAGTGTGAGCGGAAGTTTTGAACAACATTTGTCATTCGTGACAGATGAGTCAAATATGTCTCACGAAGTCGACAAAGCTCAAGTTCTCCTGGAATGTAAAGATAAGAGTTTAGTCAATAAAATATCTTTCATCATTAAATTTAAATCCCCATGAAGTGAATGAATGAGCCAACGAGAGTGCTATTGCGTCGCCAGTGCTTGCCACTTTAATGATTTATATCGAGCCCCTACCTTGTCGATTTAAGTTAGCTTTTCAAATGGCGGTTGCCAAGTTACTTTCTACTGTTGCCAGTTACATTTCCAAATATGGAATATTCGTTATGAACTTGTCAACTTGAGTTGACATGTGTACTTGAGTCACAGAATACATACATATCTATTCTGTGATACATATCTAGTCACAGAATGGATACATATGTATCTGTTCTGTGCTTGAGTACTGAAGTTGTGAACTTGAGTACTTGAGTACTGAAAGTGAGTACTGAACTTGAGTAAAGAAAATGAATTTTCTTCACGACTGTCGCTGAAATTGTTAAGTAATGAAAATCTTGATCATCTTTTAAAGAATACGAACTTGCCGCTTGGGGCAAGGAAAGTTTTAGAATTTCATCTCGGTTTGCTGCGGGAGCAGTTACCGTTATTAAAATTTTCAAAATCTCAATCAAAAAGTTGTCTTGACGTGGATGAAAATCCATCTGCTTCGTACGAGGTAGGTCGTAAAGTGACATATTTCTTAAAACTGAATACTTTCGTTCGTCATTGTTTTTGTAGTCACAATAAAAATAAATGTATAAATTTATAATGTTGCGTTTAACTATCTGAAATAGGATACAAGTATACCCGCTAAACGTTCATTGGAAAATCGGCGAAAGACAATCGAAGACTCAATTCATCACAACAAACAAGAGTTGGAAGAGATGAACGTGCAATTAGAATCAATGAATTTAAATGTTCCTGAATTACCAATGATGGGTAATTACAAAGTCATCTGCAGCAACTGCCACCACCGAGGTCACAGAAAGACACAAACTAAACCGTGTATTCTTGAAAAATGTTCCGCGTTTACTTATTGTGGACTTAAAGACAAACGTCCCGAATATTCTGCGGACATGAATCGATTGAAGTTCAAGATAAAACAAAAACACGAGACTATTAAGCAACTCCAAGAAGAATTAGATGGTGTAAATAATTTTCAAAGTTAGAGTGAGCACCAATTTATAAAAGCATTAACCCCCAGGTGATGAAAATTAATGCTGAATATAAAATGAACAGACCAAAACTTCTTCGCGATATTAGAATTTTGCGCCAGTTCTTCAACAATAAATTCCCGCAGAAACTACAAACGACGCTGAACAACTTCGAATAACTCTAGCGAAATGCAAGAAAACTTTGCAAGACGAGATTGGTGGTGTAGGTGTTGTAGGAATTAAAGAATATGAGCAAATGCAACCGGGTGGCCATGCAGTAAGTTTCAACGTTAACATGAACCTAACGCCAATGAAAAACAAAGACAGTAAAATCACACAAAAACATAGTACGAATACAAACTACACTGCACAAGGCAAGATCTTTAAACGAAAGCATTCTTCAAGGAGAAAACATACGAAAAAAAGTAAACGACAGCAAAAACCACGTTACACTGTCGCTAGCTCAACAAGTGATTCTGAACTGAGTTCATCTGCATCAAGCAGCAGAGCTTCAAGTAGCGAACGTTGTCGCGCTAAAAAACCTCGTCGCGCAAGAAAACTCTACAATAATTTCAGTGACTTCAATTTCACTCATGAAAAAAGGTTTTCTCAAGGTATGACCGGCTGTTTACAACCTCAAATTGCCCATAATGAAAGAAGAATTAAATATTTTGGAAAATACAATACATGACAAATTGTGAATTAGTGACGTTACATCGTTTGATAGTTATATTATCGTTAATATTTATCGACCAACACTGTGGACATGTGCTTCTGTACAGTGTATTGCATGTAGCACATCTCTTTGCTGTTTATCAATATAAGATTATTTTTTTATATTTCACTAATGTGCCCTTCCACAAAGGCTTGCCCCTTCTGCCCTTTTGCTGCTCCGGCGTCCCTGCTTCGCGCTCGTCAGAGAAATGTTTGTGCTGAATCATAAAAACAGAAAAGACAGCTACATTTACCACTTGCATTGAGTCAATACATTACAAATGAACTGAACCACTATTTTCACATTATTTCTTCAAGTTTGGATAGCAAGAATCGTTTTTACAAGGCCACCGTTTCGGTCTACACAATTCAGACACGTTTATACTTTACCTGAATGCTTTTGAATGGGAGGGCTGAATAATATTTAATTAATTATTAATAATTAATAATTATTAACAGTAATCGGTACACATTGGGCTTCTCATCATTTTTCCTCAAGACGTCTTCCTTTAGTTTGGACTCTATCTTTATTTGGGGCGGACGGATTTTTATTGGACAGTTGGACAGTGGGTGAGTGGGGGTTTGGTCAATGCGTGTGGTTCGATAGTTCCGTAAGAATTTTATGAAAATCATTTTTTGACTCTGAAGATGACTACCGCTAAGGTTGTCGAAACGTCAGTCAACAACAACAAAAACAGTCCTTCTCAGGACTATACCAACCTGGACGATCTACATTTACAAACATGTAACGATACTCCCGGGTTCAAACCATTTACTTTATTACAAACGACGAGCACAATGAAAATGTTGTTAAAATAGATAAAAATATGGCTTTAAATTGTGGCATCGATGCAACAGCCATGTTTTCTTCAGAATGTATGGGTGATAATTTCAGGAGTAAATTCTTCAAAAAGATTAAGGATACTTATTAGAGAAGTGCGTTTGATAAATATTTAGACCAATGGTTGAGGGGTGGCTTGATAGTTCCATAAGAACTTGAATATTTCTTGCTTCTAAACTTTATTTTCCATCCCAGCTGTCTTTATAACTTTAGCGATAGAAATATTTTCAATATTAAAATTGCTCACATGTAAACCATGGAAAACATGAGGTTATTTAGACGATGCCTTGTTATAGAAATATTTTCAATGTTAAAATTGCTCACATGTAAACCATGGACAACATGAGGTTATTTAGACGATGCCTTGTTATAGAAATATTTTCAATGTTAAAATTGCTCACATGTAAACCATGGACAACATGAGGTTATTTAGACGATACCTTGTTATAGAAATATTTTCAATGTTAAAATTGCTCACATGTAAACCATGGAAAACATGAGGTTATTTAGACGATGCCTTGTTATAGAAATATTTTCAATGTTAAAATTGCTCACATGTAAACCATGGACAACATGAGGTTATTTAGACGATGCCTTGTTATAGAAATATTTTCAATGTTAAAATTGCTCACATGTAAACCATGGAAAACATGAGGTTATTTAGACGATGCCTTGTTATAGAAATATTTTCAATGTTAAAATTGCTCACATGTAAACCATGGAAAACATGAGGTTATTTAGACGATACCTTGTTATTGAAATATTTTCAATGTTAAAATTGCTCACATGTAAACCATGGAAAACATGAGGTTATTTAGACGATGCCTTGTTATAGAAATATTTTCAATGTTAAAATTGCTCACATGTAAACCATGGAAAACATGAGGTTATTTAGACGATGCCTTGTTATAGAAATATTTTCAATGTTAAAATTGCTCACATGTAAACCATGGAAAACATGAGGTTATTTAGACGATACCTTGTTATTGAAATATTTTCAATGTTAAAATTGCTCACATGTAAACCATGGAAAACATGAGGTTATTTAGACGATGCCTTGTTATAGAAATATTTTCAATGTTAAAATTGCTCACATGTAAACCATGGAAAACATGAGGTTATTTAGACGATGCCTTGTTATAGAAATATTTTCAATGTTAAAATTGCTCACATGTAAACCATGGAAAACATGAGGTTATTTAGACGATGCCTTGTTATAGAAATATTTTCAATGTTAAAATTGCTCACATGTAAACCATGGAAAACATGAGGTTATTTAGACGATACCTTGTTATTGAAATATTTTCAATGTTAAAATTGCTCACATGTAAACCATGGAAAACATGAGGTTATTTAGACGATGCCTTGTTATAGAAATATTTTCAATGTTAAAATTGCTCACATGTAAACCATGGAAAACATGAGGTTATTTAGACGATGCCTTGTTATAGAAATATTTTCAATGTTAAAATTGCTCACATGTAAACCATGGAAAACATGAGGTTATTTAGACGATACCTTGTTATAGAAATATTTTCAATGTTAAATGAAATAAATGTATGAAACATTTTTCCGTTTGATTCAAATTATGTACGAGTTTTTTTTTAAACTTTGCACTATCCTTGGATCCCTTATTTTAATGTTGAAAGTATCCAGTTTTGTGTATTTATTATTTTAGTACGATGATGGTTCTACAAGTGAGAAACTTGACTTTAAGCTTCCTCTCCCGTGTTCATCTTACATAGTACCAACTGCTTGTTCAAGGTAAGGAACGATTTCTTTATGATCTGTAGAGCGATTGCAGTTCTAAAATTATCTAAAGTTTAGATGAATAGAATGAAATAAAATGAAACTGGAACGATGCGACGCAATAATTTATTGAAAATTTGCTTGCCTGCAAAAGTGTTGCAATTCATATTACTTTCATATCACACAAATTTCCAAAAATAAACCGTACGGGATTAATTAATGGAATGATAAATGATGGAAAACACGCAATAGCAGTTTCCAAACTGTTTTACCTTACTTGGTGGAGGGGCAGCACTTCCCTTGCGATAGTAACTCCTAGTTCTAGTGCCATCTCACAACATTTACTCATTTGTCCAGACGCCAACTACATCTCACACCTTTTCTCACTTCCTGACGCTGATTCCGACCTCGATCTCACACACGTGCTACTCAATCCTTGTAACTTGATTCCTAGTAACACCAAAATATTATATCACTGTAAAAATAATAATCCTAATCAACTTCTCATCTTAGAAGCACTTATGATAAAACGCGATATGCCACAACTTAATAGTGGTCTTAAAGCTTGTAAGAAACTATCTCTATTTTAATGTTAGTATATTGTTTAGTCTTATAGTTCTCTAATTACATAACTGCCATTTCCGCTTGTAAATATATAAAAGTTTCGCAGCCTGCATTGTAAACCATAAGTCTGATGATGTCTTTGGAATAAAGACGAAATATTACACATTATTTTGTTTCAAACTCTTGTAATATCTTGAATATCAAGAAAACGAGATGTCCCTCTTCGGAATTTGCTTTATTTTGTATATAAGTAACTATATTGTTGTTTTGACTCACTCATTGCTACGAATTCAGATAATTTCGACAAAAAATCTTTAAAGCTACAAAAGGTGGCTTCTCATATGGAAGCTCAGCATGAACTGACCATATCCCCCAGCAATTTGCTCGAGCAACAATCTTCAACACTTGAATATGGACATAAAGGGATAAACTTTTAACATTCCGATCGGTCGATGATATATTACCAGTTTCAACAAAAGCACATTATGGAAATGTTTTCACTAAAACAAACCATATCTTAAAACGGTTTGTTATAAATTTTCATTTTGTTCCACCACTTGCTTATGGTAAAGAAAAGCATTGTTTACGATTTATGTTTGAACTCACGCGTGTCCAGGCTCTTGCTATTTTAGATGATTGACAAGCTGAAAGAGATCTGAATGGTTCTTTTAAATTTCTGTCATTTTAAGAGCGTAGGGTTCCACGATTAGAATAACCTACCTGTCGCTTGCTTTATGTGTTGTCGTAATGTTAGCATGTACCCCAAGGTTGAATAAAGGCCTTAACAAATACTTCAATACCAAGTAAGGAAGCCAAAATCGTCATGTAATTTATACATGGATTGATTAGGAATTTCAAAATGATAATTGTCTTCACCGTCATAAGAATACAATTCCAACCATACCCAAGTCTGTTAGTGCCAATGGTATATAAGTAGTCAAGTGAATTTTAACGTAATCACATTTCGTTAGCACTTCATCAACGGCAAAGCTCTTATCGCTTATATGAATATATAACATCGGAAATATAAATCTTTATCTCAAGAACAAAACATTACAAGAAATGAAAGAATATTGAATTCGACTAATTTAAAAGTTTACTCGACAAATAAAGTAAATTATTTTGATTTAGAACTCAACAACATATTTTAGAAGGAAAATATTGTGTGAGAGAAGATGTTGGAATTTGGAAAGCGAAAAATTGTAGCTGCTCCTTTAATGTTTGTTATCTTGCTGATGTTTGCTGAACTGAAGGCAACTCAAGGCTTAATAGTGGAAAACGAGGCAAAAGATGATGAAGAAACAGAACTAACATGGAAGATTTTTACCGACAATGTAGCAGCATACAGTTTATTATCAAATTTGGATCTGGAGTTGCTTATTGAGGAAAACGACATAAAACCCGAGCGACTAAAAAGATCATCATTCGCAACTACCTACAATCAGGTTCCATTAGAGACAATACCATATAATGCTGCAGTTCGAATCTCAAGTTCATGCACTGGTACTTTAATCAGTGACAGACATGTCCTCACTGCCGCTCATTGCATTTATCATAAAAAATCCAAATACAGATCCTTCAAATCTAAGATCACTGTTGGTGAGTTTAAATTTATGTACATAGAATGGCGCACTTCTTTTATATTTAATAAAACATTTAAATGTTTTTCATGTTGGCTACAGTGTGCATATACTTAAATACTTAAATTGATAAAATGACCATTTGCAAGACAATTGCTTGTAATACTTTTCGGTCTGTATTTTGTTAACGGTTTTAAAGCATAAATACGTTCATGAAGTTACATCATTGCATTTTAATTATTTCCAATTACTTCTTATTTTTCACAGGATTTATTTGTGGGAGGGGTAAATTGTGATAACAATAGTGTAATCTTACTCTTGAAAGATTCTATATTTAATCCACAGTATCTGTTATACAAACAAGAAAGGTCAGTCATGTCAATGGAAGAGGTTCTAAAAAGGCCATTTGTCTAAATATATATCACGTATCGTGGACTGTCTTCTTTCCTATGATGCACACCTATAATTTCTCAACTATTTTTTAGCTACGGAAGTAGAAATGAAAACAATCATAATGATTTCAACACCTTAGAATAAAGGCTATTGTGTATCGATACATATACTATTCTTACCAGTCAAAATGTAGTGTTTTTAACTTTGCACTATCCATAGTTATATGTACAAAATAATTACCATAAATTAGCCAAACATGTTTTGCTGAATAATGATTGTACACTTTCTTTACAGATAATTTTCTTTATCAAATAGTTCTTTTTTACTTCGTACAGTCCTAGAAAATGTGAAAGTCGATATTTTATGGCAATCGTTTAGTCGACCATTGTACACTATAACTCCTGCTACCCGACTTATTAAAGGACGTTGTATTTACGTGTGTCGATATTCTCCTGACGGTCAAATCTTGGCTGTTATTTTAAATCAAAAACTTGCTAAAGACACAAGACTGTTGCTCTGTTCAAGTTTTCATTCAACATCCTGTATTATAAACATGAAATTTTGTGGTGGTTGTAATACGTCAACAGGAAGGTAAAAGAAATCATTACATTTAAAATCATTATAAATAATGCTTCACTTCATATTGCAATAGTCCTCAACAATAATCTATATAATACTATCCAACCATAGCGATAAATGGAAGTAGTACGTTTGTCAAGACTAGACGTCGAATAACTTGTTTTTGAAATTTTTTATTCAAGATTTTTTCGCGAGATTGATATGCTCTAAACTTGACATACAAGATGATATGGTTTTTGTAGCACGCTCATCGAAGTAAAAGTTTTAATCAAATGTCATTCCCAAATCTTTTGCATAGTGAACGGGGATAAATTTCATGTTTATTAAAACAAAGAAAGGTCTAGCCTTTTTGAGATCATTGGACGACTAACAAATATCATAATTTTAGTCTTGGAAACATTTGAAAAATTGTTTTAAAAATAACTAATACCATGGTGAATGGTCAAAACAAAAACTTAATAGTTCTAAAAGAACAGTTTGAAATCTGAAAGACACGATGGATTTCGGCAGACTCAGTGATCAAGTTTCAACGTCTACTAAATGAGAACTTCAAAATCATGCGATATTTATTATGGTAAGAAAAAGTTAATGTAATCTCTAAAACGCTTGAAACAGAGATAAATTATCCTTTGGTTGCCAGAGGACGGGATCAGTCAACTTAATTTGTACAGACTCCATGACGTGTAACTGAAATTTAATTGTGAGGGACATTTAAATATGAGTGATGGTCGCTATATGGCTATAACTTCTTAAAGGTTAAGTGATACAATAAAATAAAATGTACCAGCTTCCGCTGTCAGGAATAAAACTATTCCTGTATGACAGCAACCAAAACGTGATTTTAGGAGTGAAAATCACTCGGCGATTGGTAGACATCTTTTGAGTAAAATTCACTGTGCCAATTCATATTCCGACCATAATTTTAGAGTTTTTAAAAATGTCGCTCGTTATTTCAGTTATGCGTCATGGAATCTGTATTTATTAAAGTTGACTGGTCTTGTCCTCTACCGTCAATTTAATTTATCTCTGTTTTAAGCATCATCTCACAATTTAGAGATGATTCTAGCTTTTTCTTACCATCGTGTAATTTTATGTTCACATTTAGCAGACGTTGACACCTGATGAGTAGAGTGGTATAGTGTCTTTCAGATTTGAAACAGTTCTTTTTTTTCGCCACAACAAAGTCTTTATTTAACATTACAAAAAACCCTAAAAAATTGATTTTCAGAAACACCAATCCTGTGCAGGTTGTTATCATTATATGTTAAATCAAAGGCACAACCTGGTTATCGTGTAGTCACCACTGTCTATAGCAGCCCTTTTATACAGATTTTATATCAGCTAACAATTTGCACATTTATTTTTCATATTTGTATTTGTTTCTAGATATTGGTGGGTAAGTGATCTTGCGCCCATGCCTGGAGCAATGATTGCCTTTATTTGATTGGAATTACTCGAAATGGTGGAGTTTTTATAACAACAAAATATGGCGAACCTCTTCAAGTAATGTTCATTAGAAATGGTGTTGAACTGGGAGCGAGTCATTTTATTTCATTACATCCTCGTGTTGATTTAAGGTGATTATTATTACGTTAAATCTCTTTGAATTATTTTTCTTGTTTGATATTCTTCGTTAAACTGTTGTAAATAGTTGAAATACAAAGAAAATAATGTTATATTTTGGTTTGAAGCCTACAAAATAATAAATACATTTCTTTCGTTTTATAGTTTTTGTCATGCATGTCAAGCGACTTTTGTTTGTAACTTTAGGAGTTGGAGAACTTTGCTTGCGAGCAACTTTCTTTGTTTGTTTTCAGAACCTTTGTAGAAAATAACCCTTCTGAAAATTCCAATGTTTCCTCTGGCTCAGAAAGAAATTTCTATCATCAAAAGTTTTCAGTTGCTGTTCACAATTCATGTTTTCTCATGTTGTGTTCTGATGGTTATAACATTACTGTAATCGATCTATCGAAAGTACCAAAATGTCCTCAAATAATCAAATACTTTTCTCAAGATATATTATACCTTCTCACCGGTCACTTCAATGACGGGCAATCTGAAAGTCGTCGTTATCCAGGTTAGCTTAAAGTGAACTATGTGAATGATATCGATAGTAGTGGCTGTCTCGACTTAATGTTTTGTAGATGGTTGAACTTATTGCAATATGCGTTGTACGTATTTATACATTGTTTGAATAATCAGTATTTGACAATTATTTTGCCATGTATCTCGAGAAGAACTCGATAAAAAAGTTTTTTTTATAGTTCGTTAAATTAAAATGTCTAATATTTTTTCTTTTGTTTTTAATATTATTTAGATATTGATAAAGACCGTGATGCACTGACTTTGACATTTTATAATGTCGTTCAGGATGAGCTAGACATGAGTGAATCAGACCGTATAACCAACATAATAAGAGCAAAGTTTGTTTTATTACAGACGTTAGGAATTGCCACGTCACACTCGCACAAATGGTCACGTGATATGTTTCCTGAAATAAGTCTCATTGTTTATTGTCTAGAGCAGTTCATCATATATATACTGCAGAATGAAAAGAATGTTGATGCACTTTCTGAAGATATTGTGAAGTTTTTTATTTCATGTTGTGAAACATTTCGATGGGATATCGTTTACCAAAATTGTCAACGTTTGCTCGTTTAAATCATTCATCTTTTCATTCAATGTTGCCTAAGCTTTGACAAGCTACCATTCCAAAAAATGACCCATTTATGTATGAAACTATTGTGTATTGGTGAAACATATCTGAAGGATGTGTATACTTGGTCAGCTGTGACTAATCGAGCAACATTTCATTTAAACGGAGATTGCTATGAAACTGCCCTTGCTGTCAATAGTGAAAAATCAGACATGCCTTTTTATAGTGTAATTGCGGAGTGTACCTTGAACCAATCATGGCTGAGATTATATCAAGTTGTTCTTGAAAAGTTTCAGACCATTGGAAGGGATATATCACAGGAGAATCTTTTTAATATAATATGTGTAATTCAGAAAAAGTTGCAGACATTCGATTTACATCGAAATCTTAAAGCAAAATCTCAGAGGAAAATAAATGAAGGTGGCTGCAATGACTTGTCACTTGTTTTTCAAAATGCTTTAGTGTAAACTATTTTTTAGTCTAATTTTATATTTCAATTCGTATAGGCCACACCATGTGTTCGAAGAGTGAATATGCGGAAACTAAAGTTGTGTTACGGCAATGTTTTGGTGAAAATTGCAAAGATTTTGTTTACAACAATTCAACGTCGTTTACTGATACCAATACTTTGCTCTCTGTATTATATATGTACTTTGAGAATTACGATCTTAGAAGCTTTTCAAAAGCATGTTGAACGCATAACGACAACGAATGGCAGATACACGTCAAAGAGCCTGGGAAGTAGTGACAGAATAAAACCATTTCGTTTATCTTTTGTGAAAGAACTGTGAAACTTAGTAGTAATGACATTAAAAATCTGTGGGAAGCAAAAAGAAGCCAAAAAGAAGCCAAATGGCCAAATTTATTTTTTGAGGCCAAGCATGGAAAAAAGAAGCCAAATTTGAGTTATTTGGCCTCCAAAAGGCCAATCTGGCAACCCTGTTTATTAACACCAACATCCATCCCATCCAGTGTTGCTAGATGGGTAGCCTGCAAACCCGCCCGAGCTACCTTTAAAGTAGCCCATAAATAGCCCAATTATATTTTGCAAGAAATAGCCCAAATTTGCATCAAAACAAGTTAAAACAAAAGAACAAACAAAACAAAACCAGAACTTTTTCAGCATACCTTCCTTCGTACTCAGCAATTTCATCGGGCCAAGCCAGCGGCTCAATATTATCGACAAATGGCAACATTTCCAAATTAGATTCGTTCAAATTTGCCGTCACAAATTCCGATGAAGAAATCGATGCGTTTGTCTCGATCGAAGACTCAGAAAGCGAGCTAGATCTCGATGAATTTGACATTTTTTTGCTCAATTTATGTATTACTTTGTATACTTTCCAATGTGCGCTTCTCTCCGTGTTAAGACTATGACGTCACTGACCTTTGCTGATTGTAAATATTCAAAATGGTCGATTTTAATGGCGGACATGAAAATTAGACATTTCAAATGTTCATAACTTCCTCGTTATATTATTATTTTTGCTTACATTTTACGAAAGCAATAATTGATATGTGTTTAAACTATTGAATGCTAAAATCGATGAGTTTTTAACGTTAAGTTTTCGTCATAGAACCACTTTAAACCAACAATATAACGTATGTGAGATTATAACAGTTGAGATAATCATTTTACACAAAAGCTTGTTTCTTTTGAATAAAATCATAAAACATACCTTCGGCAGAAAATTTTCTAAACTCTGTGTTTCCGCTACACGGTTATCACAATTGTTATTGTTACCTTCAATTTCTTTGGCCAAAAACAGAAGAAATACTAAATTCGGACGCATCATCTGATTCCGTTTGTAAATTATCGTAACTGCGACATTTGAAAGCGAAAGATCTCCAAATTTCATGTGAACTAAAACCAGTGATCGTAAAATTGGTAATCAACAATCGTTCTTGCCGCCATCATGCTAGAACTATAGTTGTAAACGTAAACATAGTTATTATTTATCATAGATGGACGGGCACGGCTATTGGCTCTCCTTCCCACATGTCAATCAAAACAACATAAAAATAATTTTGATCAAAGCCCGCACTGCCTCTGTAATAATTTCACAGAGATTTTAGACACTTACTACATTTCACAAAAGGCTATCGTGAAAAGAAACAGGAAAAAGAAGAAAAACATAAAAAGTTGAAAACTGAGAATGAAAAAAGACGGAACAAGTAAACCAGAAACGGAAAAAATTAACCAGTCTAAAACGAGAAAATGTCTTGTAAATAGAGTGGACCGAAAAACAGGATTTTTTAAATTTTGTTTTAGTGGTTTGATACGATTTTTTATGGGCATTAACTTTTTTGTTAAATGATAAAACATTCATACGACATTCCTTTCACGAGAAAACATGAGCCCAACAATACTGACCTGCTCACCACTGTGTGACTTCATAGCTCAGTTGGTCAGAGCACTGCACCGGCACCGCAGAGGTCATGGGTTCGAATCCCGTTGAGTCACCTGATTTTTTCAGGTCCTGAGACGATTGCTTAAATTGTCCAGCAAAGTGCGAAGATCATATCTTCATTTAATTTCAAACACTGCACTGCATAAAACATTCATACGACATTCCTTTCACGAGAAAACATGAGCCCAACAATATTGACCTGCTCACCACTGTGTGACTTCATAGCTCAGTTGGTCAGAGCACTGCACCGGCACCGCAGAGGTCATGGGTTCGAATCCTGTTGAGTCACCTGATTTTTTCAGGTCCTGAGACGATTGCTTAAATTGTCCAGCAAAGTGCGAAGATCATATCTTCATTTAAGATCATATCTTCATTTAATTACAAACAGCTTTCATTGCTGAATTTCTGATTAAAAATAGTTGAAGGAACTAGTTAGTGTTTCTTTATATTATGGATGAAATCCATAACATAATCCACTAATCCAGCACCTTCATGATTTGATTGTTTTCTGTCGCGACATTTTGCCATATCTTCAATAACAACATCTTCATTAAAATTGTCCTTTACTTTTGGTTGACCCAAGGGATCGTGATTGGAGAGTGAAAAGATTGATTTCTGCTCGCTGTCACTATTCTACTAAAAACTACACAACAAGTTAAGACTGAGTGCTAATAAAAAGCTAAACGACGAAAAAATACATATGAATATCGTTTTCTTCGTATAATCTTCGCTCGTGATTAGTAAAGGATTTGTAGCTAAAATATCAACATTATCAACATCATTTAAAGTATGTATGTCCTTATGAACAATATAAAGACAAGATAGATACATACTTATATGCATAAACTATTAAAGATATATTTAACACATAACACAATTACACAATACAGAATTATTAACAACATTTGTACACAACATTTAAGACTTATCGAAGAAATGTGTTTTAAAGACATAGTATCAAAATTTAAATTTAGCCGTTCGCAATATTAAATGTAAAAGATGAAGTTTTTTCTCTGCATGGGGATGCATGGTTCTGTTGTTACTACAAAAGTCACGGTACTCACAACAAAAATCACGATTTTCTCTCTGTAGAAGTAAATTCTGACTCTAAATGATGAGATTTTCTCTCTTCCTTTTGGATTTCATGATGTTTTAGGACATCCTAAATTTTAGCAATTGTTTTTAGTGTACATAGGGTATAAAATAGGGTTTTTAGTGTACATAGGGTATAAAACGGTTGGGGTGCCACTTATTGTTACAGATTCTTGCACTGCATTATGGGCTTGATTACGTAATTTGAAACCAACCAATTACAGCCGACTGTCATTTTCTGCAATATTCAGCATTCACTATATTATCAATTCTCCATTATTATTACCACGACATCATTTTTAAGTTTCAAGAGCTACAGTATTTTGTTGCAAAAACAATAACTAACTTACTTCAACATCACCAAGAGGATCCATGTCCAATTTGTGATCTGTGTCAAAATTTTCCTTTACTTTTTCATGGCTGTTATAAAAAATTTATATGAACTAAATGCGTTTAGACTGAACCTAAAAACTGTTGTGCGAGTATAAAAAAGTAGGAAGTAAAAAATTGCTTTAGCTAACATTTAACCAAACACAGGACATACATGCAAGACTACAGATGAGAGATCTGGCAAAGACAGTGAAAGTCCTAATCAGTGTTAAATAACATAATTTGTACCACATACATTTCGTCATAATTTCCTTCTTCCAGAGGATTTTTTTCAATTTTCAACTCTTTAATATCTTTGTCAACCTACACATTATCAGTACCTTAATCAGCTGAGGTTACAAATGATTTCTGTCAAATGTCTAAATTCCGAAAAAAACATCGACATTTATGTACATGAATAATAATTTAAAAATCTCATTTCGTGGCTACAATTTAGTAAAATGGAAATTCAGGCAACACTGAGTTTTGCACCCTCTATCACATGTACACATGTAACTACGTTACGACTGTTAAACGGTCGTTTACGGTAGAAATTCTCCCAACATAAAAGTAAACCTACTATTTGCAACCAAAACAAAGTTTAAACAAACGCATGAAAAAAAAATCATGTTTCAAAAAAAGTCTTGAACTACAGGAAAACACAAATTATTCAACATGAGTAAAGTTTAAATATTTCAACATGAGTATTTCAACAAATATTTCAACAAATATTTCAACAAATATTTCAACATGAGTAAAGTTTAAACTATAAGAAAAGCAAAGTCGCTTCCTACGTCAAATGTTCAACGTACGTTTTGCTGGATTTTAACACGAATATTTCAACATGAGTAAAGTTTAAACTATAAGAAAAGCAAAGTCGCTTCCTACGTCAAATGTTTAACGGACGTTTTGCTGGATTTTAACACGAATATTTCAACATGAGTAAAGTTTAAACTATAAGAAAAAGCAAAGTCGCTTCCTACGTCAAATGTTCAACGGACGTTTTGCTGGATTTTAACACGAATATTTCAACATGAGTAAAGTTTAAACTATAAGAAAAAGCAAAGTCGCTTCCTACGTCAAACGTTCAACGGACGTTTTGCTGGATTTTAACACGAATATTTCAACATGAGTAAAGTTTAAACTATAAGAAAATGCAAAGTCGCTTCCTACGTCAAATGTTCAACGTACGTTTTGCTAGATTTTAACAGGAATATTTCAACATGAGTAAAGTTTAAACTATAAGAAAAAGCAAAGTCGCTTCCTACGTCAAATGTTCAACGTACGTTTTGCTGGATTTTAACACGAATATTTCAGCAAGAGTAAAGTTTAAACTATAAGAAAAAGCAAAGTCGCTTCCTACGTCAAACGTTCAACGGACGTTTTGCTGGATTTTAACACGAATATTTCAACATGAGTAAAGTTTAAACTATAAGAAAAAGCAAAGTCGCTTCCTACGTCAAATGTTCAACGGACGTTTTGCTGTTTAAACTTTTAACTGGATTTTAACACGAATATTTCAACATGAGTAAAGTTTAAACTATAAGAAAAAGCAAAGTCGCTTCCTACGTCAAATGTTCAACGGACGTTTTGCTGGATTTTAACACGAATATTTCAACATGAGTAAAGTTTAAACTATAAGAAAATGCAAAGTCGCTTCCTACGTCAAATGTTCAACGGACGTTTTGCTAGATTTTAACAGGAATATTTCAACATGAGTAAAGTTTAAACTATAAGAAAAAGCAAAGTCGCTTCCTACGTCAAATGTTCAACGGACGTTTTGCTGGATTTTAACACGAATATTTCAACATGAGTAAAGTTTAAACTATAAGAAAAAGCAAAGTCGCTTCCTACGTCAAAGTTCAACGGACGTTTTGCTGGATTTTAACACGAATATTTCAACATGAGTAAAGTTTAAACTATAAGAAAAAGCAAAGTCGCTTCCTACGTCAAACGTTCAACGGACGTTTTGCTGGATTTTAACACGAATATTTCAACATGAGTAAAGTTTAAACTATAAGAAAAAGCAAAGTCGCTTCCTACGTCAAATGTTCAACGGACGTTTTGCTGGATTTTAACACGAATATTTCAACAAGAGTAAAGTTTAAACTATAAGAAAAAGCAAAGTCGCTTCCTACGTCAAACGTTCAACGGACGTTTTGCTGGATTTTAACACGAATATTTCAACATGAGTAAAGTTTAAACTATAAGAAAAGCAAAGTCGCTTCCTACGTCAAATGTTCAACGGACGTTTTGCTAGATTTTAACAGGAATATTTCAACATGAGTAAAGTTTAAACTATAAGAAAAAGCAAAGTCGCTTCCTACGTCAAAAGTTCAACGGACGTTTTGCTGGATTTTAACAGGAATATTTCAACATGAGTAAAGTTTAAACTATAAGAAAATAGCAAAGTCGCTTCCTACGTCAAAAGTTCAACGGACGTTTTGCTGGATTTTAACACGAATATTTCAACATGAGTAAAGTTTAAACTATAAGAAAATAGCAAAGTCGCTTCCTACGTCAAAAGTTCAACGGACGTTTTGCTGGATTTTAACAGGAATATTTCAACATGAGTAAAGTTTAAACTATAAGAAAAAGCAAAGTCGCTTCCTACGTCAAAAGTTCAACGGACGTTTTGCTGGATTTTAACACGAATATTTCAACATGAGTAAAGTTTAAACTATAAGAAAATAGCAAAGTCGCTTCCTACGTCAAAAGTTCAACGGACGTTTTGCTGGATTTTAACACGAATATTTCAACATGAGTAAAGTTTAAACTATAAGAAAAGCAAAGTCGCTTCCTACGTCAAATGTTCAACGGACGTTTTGCTGGATTTTAACAGGAATATTTCAACATGAGTAAAGTTTAAACTATAAGAAAAAGCAAAGTCGCTACCTACGTCAAATGTTCAACGTACGTTTTGCTGGATTTTAACAGGAATATTTCAACATGAGTAAAGTTTAAACTATAAGAAAAGCAAAGTCGCTACCTACGTCAAATGTTCAACGTACGTTTTGCTAGATTTTAACACGAATATTTCAACATGAGTAAAGTTTAAACTATAAGCAAAGTCGCTACCTACGTCAAATGTTCAACGTACGTTTTGCTGGATTTTAACAGGAATATTTCAACATGAGTAAAGTTTAAACTATAAGAAAAACCAAAGTCGCTACCTACGTCAAATGTTCAACGTACGTTTTGCTGGATTTTAACACGAATATTTAAACATGAGTAAAGTTTAAACTATAAGAAAAAGCAAAGTCGCTTCCTACGTCAAATGTTCAACGGACGTTTTGCTGGATTTTAACAGGAATATTTCAACATGAGTAAAGTTTAAACTATAAGAAAAAGCAAAGTCGCTTCCTACGTCAAACGTTCAACGGACGTTTTGCTAGATTTTAACAGGAATATTTCAACATGAGTAAAGTTTAAACTATAAGAAAAGCAAAGTCGCTTCCTACGTCAAATGTTCAACGGACGTTTTGCTGGATTTTAACACGAATATTTCAACAAGAGTAAAGTTTAAACTATAAGAAAAAGCAAAGTCGCTTCCTACGTCAAACGTTCAACGGACGTTTTGCTAGATTTTAACAGGAATATTTCAACATGAGTAAAGTTTAAACTATAAGAAAAAGCAAAGTCGCTTCCTACGTCAAATGTTCAACGGACGTTTTACTAGATTTTAACAGGAATATTTCAACATGAGTAAAGTTTAAACTATAAGAAAAAGCAAAGTCGCTTCCTACGTCAAAAGTTCAACGGACGTTTTGCTGGATTTTAACAGGAATATTTCAACATGAGTAAAGTTTAAACTATAAGAAAATAGCAAAGTCGCTTCCTACGTCAAAAGTTCAACGGACGTTTTGCTGGATTTTAACACGAATATTTCAACATGAGTAAAGTTTAAACTATAAGAAAATAGCAAAGTCGCTTCCTACGTCAAAAGTTCAACGGACGTTTTGCTGGATTTTAACAGGAATATTTCAACATGAGTAAAGTTTAAACTATAAGAAAATAGCAAAGTCGCTTCCTACGTCAAAAGTTCAACGGACGTTTTGCTGGATTTTAACACGAATATTTCAACATGAGTAAAGTTTAAACTATAAGAAAATAGCAAAGTCGCTTCCTACGTCAAAAGCTCAACGGACGTTTTGCTGGATTTTAACAGGAATATTTCAACATGAGTAAAGTTTAAACTATAAGAAAAAGCAAAGTCGCTTCCTACGTCAAATGTTCAACGGACGTTTTGCTAGATTTTAACAGGAATATTTCAACATGAGTAAAGTTTAAACTATAAGAAAAGCAAAGTCGCTACCTACGTCAAATGTTCAACGTACGTTTTGCTGGATTTTAACAGGAATATTTCAACATGAGTAAAGTTTAAACTATAAGAAAAAGCAAAGTCGCTACCTACGTCAAATGTTCAACGTACGTTTTGCTAGATTTTAACACGAATATTTCAACATGAGTAAAGTTTAAACTATAAGAAAAAGCAAAGTCGCTACCTATGTCAAATGTTCAACGTACGTTTTGCTGGATTTTAACAGGAATATTTCAACATGAGTAAAGTTTAAACTATAAGAAAAACCAAAGTCGCTACCTACGTCAAATGTTCAACGTACGTTTTGCTGGATTTTAACACGAATATTTAAACATGAGTAAAGTTTAAACTATAAGAAAAAGCAAAGTCGCTTCCTACGTCAAATGTTTAACGGACGTTTTGCTGGATTTTAACAGGAATATTTCAACATGAGTAAAGTTTAAACTATAAGAAAAGCAAAGTCGCTTCCTACGTCAAACGTTCAACGGACGTTTTGCTAGATTTTAACAGGAATATTTCAACATGAGTAAAGTTTAAACTATAAGAAAAAGCAAAGTCGCTTCCTACGTCAAATGTTCAACGTACGTTTTGCTGGATTTTAACACGAATATTTCAACAAGAGTAAAGTTTAAACTATAAGAAAAAGCAAAGTCGCTTCCTACGTCAAACGTTCAACGGACGTTTTGCTGGATTTTAACACGAATATTTCAACATGAATAAAGTTTAAACTATAAGAAAAAGCAAAGTCGCTTCCTACGTCAAATGTTCAACGGACGTTTTACTAGATTTTAACAGGAATATTTCAACATGAGTAAAGTTTAAACTATAAGAAAAAGCAAAGTCGCTTCCTACGTCAAAAGTTCAACGGACGTTTTGCTGGATTTTAACAGGAATATTTCAACATGAGTAAAGTTTAAACTATAAGAAAAGCAAAGTCGCTACCTACGTCAAATGTTCAACGGACGTTTTGCTGGATTTTAACACGAATATTTCAACATGAGTA